CCTGGAGTTATCCATGCTTTCAGCAGTCCTACATGAGAATGAATTACCTTCTGAATGCTCTATGCAATGCCAAGTTTGCTTCCACAGGGTCTTGAGGGTACCTGGCATGTGCAAGGTGAATTTTGCCACCTGGGACAAAGGCTCTAAACAATGGGGGATGGGGGATTTACAGCCTGGAAGGCAGCAACCTGGAAATCCACCCAATATATGGTAGGGGGAACAAAGCAGGAGCAGACCCTGGGAAAATGGGTTCTTCAGTCGCTGCTGGGGAATCACATGCATATATTCCCCCTAAATCAATGTTTTTCATTATCTGAAATGAAAAGAGCTTTCATTTGTGGAAACATTGCTCTGTGCTATTCAATCAGTTTTAATTAAGCGACTGAGATGCGTTAAATTGTGCTGGAGGAATCTTCTTGGGAACACTAGCTGCTCGAGTTTTACTGCTCCTCTTACAACCATAAATAGGGATAAATGCCTAATTGCTACTGAGAGTGTTCTGCTGGACCTAATGAGCTGATCACAAACAATCCTTCATTGTGGAATAATTTAATCCTATTTGACTCCAGCCAGTGATCCCTGTGCCTCACCGTGTCCATGTGCTGTGAGGGGCTGGGCTGGGGTTCTGCAGGGAAGGAATTGGTTTCCATTGCTGCTCAGAAAGGTCCCATCTCATTATCCTAGCCCTTCCATGTGGTTGTTTGTACCTAGGGGAAATTCTCCAGCTCTTCCTTTCTCCAGAGGAGAGCAAAGCGCAGCAGTGCAGTGAGGTTGGGACTCCTGGAGTGGAGAAGGACATTGGTGTGCTGTGGGGATGTGGCTTGGGAATGCCTCCCATAGCCAGGGCTCGGCCAGAGCAGGGTCAGATGGCCATCCCAGAGCCCTTGAGGAGCTGTGCATGTGCTATTGCCCAGAGGGAATCTTTTCTGTGGTGGGATCATCACCCTCACATCTTCACTGAGCATTTTGAGTGGTTTATGAATGAAGTGCTTGGCTATGTTGTGCGTTTTAATTATGGATGTATGAGCATTGTCTTTCCATCAGCAGAAACTTGAGAGGGTGAAGCTCTCTGCAGAACATACACAGGGAAATGAGCAGTGATGGCACCTGGGCAGGTTTGGTTTCGATAGCACCCAACTTCCCAGCATGGCTAGTGGGAGTGTAGGCAAATTGCAGCCACCTGGTGGGGAATTGCCCCAGCTGAAGGGGGACAGCAGAGCTCCACAGAGCCACGCTGGTCTCTGCTGGGCTGCATTAGCATCCAACACCCCAACTCTCTGCACCTCCTCTTGAATCCATGCAACCCTTGGCCAGTTGCTCAACTGCTGCACTGTTACTCCAGATTTGGCTCGTTTTGCTATGGAAAGCACAATTCCCCTCTAAGCCTTTAGTTCCCATCCTGGTCCAGCAGAGTTGGCTGCTGTTATTGGCTCCCACCAGCTGTGTTCTCAGCTCTGGAATGAATTGTCCCATCAGTTTATCCACCATCCCCAGGAGCGTGTCAATTTTTTTGCCTTCTTGCTTTGCACCCTTTCCCTCTGCCTGCAAAGAGGAACAGCCTTCGGTTTCACAGGCCCTGCCCTGGGGCTCATTATCCTTTTGCACAGTGAAGGATGTTCACACAACATCTGAAGGAGGTCTGAAGCAAGATCAGGGATGCATTTCCCAACCCAGACTAACAGCTTGAGAGTAGGACATCAGGGAAATGCAAAGCAGCAACAAGAGCCCTTCTGGACCATGAAGGAGTATTGGGGTAAAAAGCATCCAAGTCCATCCTGCTTCTGCCTTGCTGATAGCTAGAGGAAAGCAAAGCTGGGACCTGGATTTGCCCATTTTCTTCTACGGCAGCATCACTGGATGAGAGCTGTGTTCCAACTCAGGTATCTCCCATTGTCAGACACTCTCAGGAACATCCCCAGACACCCATTGCTATGCGCCCCATCCCTCTGTTCTGGGGCAGTTCCCTTACTGCCCACATCCCCAACAATTCAGGCTCTGTTCTGCAGCGCCCAGCCCCAGCAGCCCACCTACACACATGGGCACGGTGACAGATTTTGTGCTGCTGCACCCACAGCTGCCCTGGAACGAGCCTGGCTGTTGCTTCCCTTAAAGGCAGGGATGATCTTAGGGCATGCTTTGTTGTGAGTTTTGTTATTTGTTCATGTTTCTTTGGATTAGCAGTGCTGACAATGCTCTGCGTGGATGCAAGGTCACGCGTGCCATACAGGCTGTCCTCCCTGCTCCATTCTCACGTGGTCCCCACTTTGCTCCCACGTTGCTCTTCCTTCTTCCTTTGCTCTAGATCAGCTGAGTCTCCATGGCTCCCATCCCCTCAGTGCAGCACTGCTGCAAATCTCCCTTCTGATTCACACAGCCCTTGTTTTCCCAGTCCAAGCACACGTGATGATGGGCGGGATGTATCCATCAGTTGGGTGCACAGCTGCCTGCTTTGTATACTCCATGTAATCAGTGTTTGGACTCAGTTATAGATTGGCTTAGGTTGGAAGGGGCTTTAAGTCCTGTTTGCATTTCCATTTAATGCATACATGTATGTAGGCATCTCCCAAGCCTCTGCCAGGACCCTTCTCCTTTATGTCACAGACGTTGCTTTCACTGTGGCTGATCTCAAAGCAGTGCATAGAGGCATTCAAATGCCTGTTGCCTTACACCTTGCATTTGTGAAGGAAGCACATTTTAAAGTATTTTTTGATGTTTCTTTGTGAAATATCGCAATGTGAGCATAGGAAGGATGCTACAAATCTCAGCCTTGCTAAATATCTGGTTGCAGTATTGGCTGATTTAGTTCGTAAGTCCAACTATTGCTTAGTAACAGAGAGGCATAAAACCAGACCATCCATTACTCACTTTAAGCTGAAACTGGAGAAATGAAACGCTCTAAATAATGAAGACCACAGATCACAGTGATATCTTCCTTTAGACAGAAAGCTAAAGAAGTAATTTGAAAAGCTTCGTTCAGGACGACCTGCTCCCTGAGGGCTGTGGAAGTCCTGGACATGACTTTAATTACTGACCCGGTCCTATAATTATTTTGTCCTTCAACTGCTTTTATTGCAACGACTGGATTGGAAAATCCTTTGAATGAGCAAAAAAAAAAAAAGGATCAAAGTAGAACTCCCCTCTGAGCCCCTTTGCAACCCATAATTTGGTGTCATGGGGATGCAGAGGGCCGGTGACTTCATTTGGGCTTCAGCCCAGGGATGGAGACGTGTTCTGGGCTCTGATTTGGACCATCCTTGAGGTTCAGACGTGTGCACGAGGTCAGGAATGCTTCATGGTAGATCTTTAGGGCTGAACAACTTGCTGTTAACACTTCAAAACGAAATCTTGGGCTGCACATTTGGTCTGGGAAGGATGCACACAGTCCTCCTTACTCATCCCTTCTAATTTAATAACTGTGATGGCTTTTAGACATCTCTATGATTCCAGGGTGCGGTGCAGGAGCAGCATCTCCTTTAGGCAGGGCAAAACCCAGCATGGATGACAAAACACTGCTTGTTCTCCACAGGGGCAATGGGAAAAACGTTCTCAGGAGCTGCATTGCACTGGCTGTGCCCCTGCCTGGGGTGCAGGAGAGCAGTGCAGGCCATGTGTCAGGGCTGTTGGCTGGCTGACAGCTGTCAGCTTGGCTCCCTGCAGTACCTATCAACGGCTTCTGTCTGTTGTCCTGAGCCCCCTCCCTCCCACATCAGCCTCATTGGGTCTCAGCAGCAGCAGCCCAAGCTGGACTGATTTATATTTCATGACCCAGGTTCTCCTTGCTTGCCAAATGGCCTCTGTGCTGCTCTCCTGTCGGTGCCGTCCCACCACAGTGCAGGGCTGCATGGAGATGGGAAGGAGCAGCACTGGGGATTTTCCACTGTTTGCTGCCCTGGCGTTGTTTCTGCTCTCAGCTGAGAGCTGTCTGGATGTCTGCTGCCCGGCTGTTATAGCTCTATTACAGACAGAGCTGTAACTCAGCTGTGATGCCACCTCTGCGGTGCAGCAGCCTTTCTACGGGGAATTTTATTGTCCAGATAAGATAATTCATCCTCCTTTCTACTCTCTTTTAATCTGCAGTTTGTCTGTGGGCTTATTAACAGCCAAATCAAATGGATGTCTATGAAAACTCCAAGAGATGCGCTGCCAGTCCCTGCGGGCTCCTGGATGTGTGCAGGGGTGAAAGCATCATCCCATTGCCTGACCCCACACAGCATCGGAGCCCCATTGCCTCCTGGAAAATAGAGGCAAAGCAGCTCACAAAGAGATGCTGCATCTGTGCTCTGCTCCCATTGGTCCAAAAATGTTCCCATAGTGTGTAGCAGGCAGTGCTGTTTTGGGAAGGGGAATGGCCATCAGCAGTGCTGCAGCACCTTCTGGGCTTTCATTGGCTCTAGGGTCACAGACAGTTCTTCCTTCAGTGGAATTCAACTCTTTTTTTTTTCGGTCCAGAATGAAAACTGGGTTTTAGTGTTTGTTGGGTCTTGTGCATGAAATTCAGCTATGGGCTTCCTGACTTCTGGGCAACATCATCTGGTGCCTGTTTCATCTGCTTTAGAGGTTTGCAGCCCTGCCCATGGTGGGGTGGTTGGTAGGAGGTGGTCTTTGAGGTCCCTTTCAACACAGTCATTCTATGATTCCATGGTTCTGTGTTTCTACGGTCCTATGAAACAGCAAACCATCCTTCTGATTTTCTCCTGTGGGGGCCTATGTGGTTCTGCATTCACTTCTGGGGCAACTTTCCAACGTTCCTTGGGGAGAACTCAACAGAGCTCTGGGGTTTGAGCACAGGTAACCATAAAGGCTTAACAAAGAATGCCTTGGAAAGACAGCGACCGTGGGCTGAGTACTGGAAACATGGCCTGGAAACTAATTACCTTTGTTAACACCCTTTGTCCCTCTGCACAAATATTTTCAGACTGCAAACTCTCTGTCCCCACAGTTGCCAGGAAGAGAAATGCAGGACATAGCAGTGCTGACCTCTGTTTTTTTGTGTTTTGCAGCTGAGGACCCAACAGCCATCAGCTCTCCTCGGGGGAGCAGGTGAAACGATAGCATTATCCTGATATCCAAAATGGTCCTGCACAGCCACCAGCTCACCTGCGCAGGGATTGCATTTGCTCTGTGCCTCCAACACCTCATCAGCGCCATTGAAGTCCCTCTGGATTGTAAGTTCTGATTTACTCCACCTGGGGCACGGTGGGGATGGGCTGATAGTTGGGTTGTGTGATCTCAGTGGTCTTTTCCAAGGCCTATGATTCTATGGTTTCCTGCTTGAAGGTCTGCAAAGGCAGAGTGAAGAAATACATGGACCGGGCATGTCTCCTGCTCCAATCAAATATTTGGGATATTTTTCTTTTTAAGTCACATTTCATCCAGAAATCCACCTGAATTGCTGACTCGAAAGCTGAGCAAAGGACTTGCAGCCACCCATCAAAAAGGGACAGAATACCAAGTTGGTAGAGAAGCCCATCCCCAGAAAACCTTTAGCCCATAGACTTAAAGTGGAGCATCCCACAGTTTTTGTCTCTGTTGGGACTTTTGGTTAAACATGAGACACGAGTTATGTTTTATTTTGTTTTATTCAGAGAGTTTGAGGATATGGAGGAAGGGGACAAGGGGTGATGTTTCCACTAAACAGCATCTTCAGGCCAGTGTCTGGGAAACGTATGACTTGTTTGGGTGCACTTGGGATGAAGGTTTGTACTGAGAGCGAGCTGCTAAGTCATGGCTCAGAGGCTCTGTTCCAGCTACTCGTCTGGATACCAGTTTCATAATTTCTCTGTGTCCCAGCTTCCTCCTGTAGAGGCTGTTAATAATAATCAGCCTGTAGCTGCAGGGAATCTATTCTGACAGTGCAATGTACAGAAATCCTCCAGCGAGCGGTGCATTAGTGGAAAAAGCACTGCTTTGTGCTGCTGTCTGTACTCGGGCTGAAGCACCAGGGTTCTTTGGAAACAACGTGAAGAGAGAGTGGGAAAGCTCTGATTTGCTGAGGGGAAAGTAAATACTTGTGCAACTGAAAGCTTGAGGTGGGGGTCCCAGTGCAATCTCTTATCTTTGCAAGGGTTGAGTGTGAGTTCCTGCTTTACTCCATTCTGAATGATTGTGGATGAGCATAATTTTGTTCCCTAGGGTCAGCCCTGGAATGGGAACATGGCACTCTTGTTCCCAGCATGGGAATTCGATGGGATGTGCACAGTTTGGATGTGCAGGCAGTCAGTATGGAAATGGGAGCCAGTTGGGCATAACTGAGTAGGTCTGCAAACAGCAGTCTTCTGCTCTTTCTTGTGCTTTCCTGTCAAAAAAGAGTGATTTTGATGCTTACACGTAATATGAGCACAGAAAAGTAAGGGAAATGCTGACAGCTGGTGGAGAACTGCTGAAGGCAGCCTTCCTTTGCAACTTGCCACTTCTTCGGTCTCCTCTCTGCTGCACAGCATGGACCCACAGCAGAGCAACATCACCTCCAGCGCTGGAGATGCTGGGGGATATAAATATCTATCTATCTATGGGATAGATACCTATATATCTACATATGGGATATAGTACTGGTACACTAGAGTTCATTTCATGCCCTCTTTGGACCCCCAAAGCTCCCAAAGGCTGCACAGGCAGTTAGCAGCTAACAGTGATTTGGAATCCATGGCCCCTATGGGTCTCTTCCAACTCAGAATATTCTATCATTCTCTGAGTGCTCAACAGCATCTCCTGCTATATAACTATATAAGTAGGTGGATTAGAACATGCTGGAATTGTTAAATCAGTTGTACGTAGGATTTGCAGATCCTACAATAGCAGCATTTTGTTTTCATATGTTTGTGTGCATAATGTGTGTTTATGGGGGTTAGCCCTTCGATTAACCCTTCTTTCTTCTTTTTCATTATGCTTGCACTTCGGAAATAACAGCAAATATTCAGAGTGAATGTAAGTGCTGCCTTCTATGTGAACATGGTGGTGTCCTCTGCATGTCCAAAATGGCATGAGGGGTTGGGTCTGGTGCCAGCTGTGCTTTGGTGCAAGGTACATGTGGTGCACAGGGCTGGTGACAAATAGCATGTTCTCCACGCTTGCTTGTGGTTTTGGAGGTCTTTGGACCACAGATTTGCACAAATTGGGAAAGAATCCTGGTGAGATCTGCTGCAGGAAAGCAGAGAGAGGCACACAGCTCATCTCACCCCTGCCATTTGCTTTGCAGTGCCTCAGCCCCCCACCATCACCAAGCAGTCTGTGAAGGACTACATCGTTGACCCCCGGGACAACATCTTCATTGAATGTGAAGCCAAAGGGAATCCAGTTCCCACGTAAGTGCCCCGGAATTGCTCCTGTACCGGAGCTCCGTGGTTTGTTAGCACTGGTTCTGAAGGTGCTGGGATTTCTGGGCAAAGCAGATCTGAGTTGGTCCCACTGTCCCCAGAGCCGGCACTATAGATGCCAATTGCCACTGATTTAACTGTTTACTTGCATAGCCCAACTGAGGCTCTTTTCAGGTAAATATACACCCCACAGTCACCTCACAAATCTCTCTGCCATGCTCACAGCTTTTCCTGGACACGGAACGGGAAGTTCTTCAACGTGGCAAAGGACCCCAAAGTGTCCATGCGGAGGCGGTCGGGGACGTTGGTCATTGATTTCCATGGAGGTGGGCGACCAGACGACTACGAGGGCGAGTACCAGTGCTTCGCCAGGAACGATTTTGGCACTGCACTGTCCAGCAAAATCCACCTCCAGGTGTCCAGTGAGTAAGCACAGTTGTGTGGGGTGAGCACCAGAAATCAGACTCAGGAAGTTCCACACTTCTATGGATGCTTTGTCGTAGAAGCACAGACAGCATCCGGTGATCAGATATCCCAGCCTGCTTTGTGGTCTTTAAGGTCACTTCCAACCCTGTGATTCTATCATCCATTGCCTGTGTCAAGATCATAGAATCATTAAGGCTGGAAAGGATTTCTAGGATCACTGAGTCCAACCCCAAGCCATCTCCATCATACCCACTAACCATGACCCTCAGTGCCACATCTCCACAGTTATTGATCCCCTCCGGGGATGGTGAATCCACCACCTCCCTGGGCAGCCTTCACCAGTGCCTGACCACTCTTTCAGAGAAGAACTTTTCCCTGATATCCGACCTGAACCTTCCCTGGTGCAACTTGAGGTCATTGCTTTTAATCCCATTGCTGTTACTCAGAAGAGACCTACCCCTCCTCGCTACAAACTTCTTACAGGGAACTGTAGAGAGAGATGAGGTCTCCCCTGAGCCTCCTCTTCTCCAGACTGAAACATCCCAGTTCTCTCAGCTGCTCCCCATAAGACTTGCACACGCAGAAATAAGGCTTCCCTCTCTGCCAATTGAGGCCATTCCATTGAAACCAGGCCAGGTCCAGAGGGAAGGGAGGAGATCTGCAGAGTGAATGCCTACCTTCCTCATGCAGTGCTGTGATTCTCGTGGCAGGATCTCCCCTGTGGCCCAAGGAGAAGGTGGATGTCATTGAGGTTGACGAAGGTTCTCCACTCAGCCTGCAGTGCAACCCACCTCCTGGTCTGCCTCCTCCTGTCATCTTCTGGATGAGCAGCTGTGAGTTGGGGAAGCCTTTTCCATCATGAACCCTCACTCCCTTCAAGCACCTGCAGTGTTAGTTTGAAATAATTAAATTTGGAGTCATCGTTGCCAGTTCACAGCTTGGTGGTACCCACGCATGGTTTAAACTGGGAGTTGCTTTTTGCCTTCACGTGTTCAGGAGGTCCTGGTTAACTGAATACCTCTTTCCCCACAGCCATGGAGCCCATCCACCAGGACAAGCGTGTCTCCCAGGGCCAGAATGGTGACCTGTACTTCTCCAATGTCATGCTGCAGGATGCCCAGACTGACTACAGCTGCAATGCACGCTTCCACTTCACCCACACCATCCAACAGAAAAATCCCTACACCCTCAAGGTGAAAACCAGTAAGTGTCATGGTTGTCAGCCAGGATGGAGCTCTGCCAACCTCTTGGGTAGGGTTCTCCTTTCAGTCTTTGACAGCTCTGAGTCCTACCGAAGAAAAGAGTGTCTTCCCTCATTTTGATTAGGATAGGAGTCTGCTTAAGAACTGATGGGACTCAGACTGACTCCATGGCTTGTTCCCTTGCTGTGTCCCAGGGCTGCAGAGGTAGCTCAGTGTGGGTATTGCTGAGTTTCTGAGATGGACACAGATGGTGTATTCTGTCCATCTTTAGGGAGAAGTGCAATATCAAGTGATTTTTTCCTAATTTGGAAAGCTGGAGATAGCTGTGTTTTGCTCCAGGTTTAGGTTTACGGGGATGCCCTGTGGTGCTGCATGTGACTGAGTGTGTGTTCATTGCTGACCAACAAGTCTTGGGGCTCACCATGACCAGGAGGTGATGATCAGTTCTGGGAGGTGGGAGCAGGGGGAGCAGAGCTTTAGGGATCTGGGGACACTGGCTCCCAATTCCCAGCACCAGGAGCTTCATCTGTTGCTTAATAGGAGGTAACACCATTAAAGCGTTCTGATACCTGGGATTGAGGTGTGATGTGAGCAGCAGGCTGGGCTTGGAGCATTCTGCACTTCTGGTGTAACACCCTCTCTTTGTGCAAAGCATGAGAAGTAGTGATGCAAATACTACAAATGGGCACTTTTCTAATGGTGAGGAAGGTGTACATGTAACCCGCTCCGATTACTTGTTATCTGAGTGAGAAGCTGGCTGAATAATGCCAAAATTTGCCTTGTAGTGAAGGACTGAACCCTGAATGAGCTCAAGCTCAAAGTAGCAAGCGAAACCATGTGTTCATTTGGGTCTCAGACGTTTTCAGCCTGGTATATTGGTCCAGCTCCAGAAAAATAAGTGAAAGAAATCCTGGAAGGATTTCCTGTAGAGCATCTCTGCTGTGTCTTGGGCCCCAGGCTGTGCCCTGGGTGCTCTCTGTTCTGCTCATTACCCAGTGGAGCTCTGTTGGCAATTAGTGGCTGTGCTCACCTAGGTGTCAGCAATTGTCAATGAGGGAGAGGGGTGTGTTATGAGGAGCTGCTGTTTTTGCATATAACACAATTTGCTTAAATTACCTGGGAATTGAAAGGGGTTTTACAGCAGATTATGCTTTTAAAACTTAATTGTTGTTATTATTTTTATTTGTTTGCCCTCTCCATGCCTTTCTGCATCATTGCACTGCTGCCTCAGTGCATCCAGCCCATGCTTTGTGCTAGAAAGAAATAGCAGGAGTACGCTTATCTCACAGTTAACTGAGAGAAAAAAATATGTTTTCTTCCCAAATTGAACTAATTCTTGTCAACGTTGTCTTTATACCAAAGGAAAAACACCTGGAGGAAATGTTTACGATCAAATTAGGTGATATTTATCACGCGTTTATTTGTCTCTCCATCTCGTAGGAGGAAAGCAATCTTCTCTTCCCCTCCCGCACCACTGTGCTCTGTTGCTGTTTGTCTTCTAAGGCTCTGAGCACCTCTGTTTGCTTCTGCTACCCCGTGCCCCCTGGTCCCCACGTAGCCCCATCCCTGTTTCCCACCGCTGCTTTGTGCCGCTCGGTATGCTCACGGTCTTTTGTTTATTGCAGAGAAACCCCATAACGAAACGTCCTTACGAAATCACACTGACATGTACAGTGGTGAGTCAACAGCAGCTTCTGGAGACCTTCACGTTTGTAACCCCCTGTGCCTAACCCGACTGATCCCGTGCTAACCCAGCGTGGGCTGCGTCGGCAGCATCCCGGTGTGCACAGCCCCGATGTGTGCGTGTGGTCCTTTCTGTGCTTTGTCCCCCAGACGTCACAAAAAGCGGGCTGGGAGCAGCCCAGCAGCCCAAATCCTGTCTGAGTTTTGACATCTTAAAATGATTGAGGGCTAAGCTAATTAATTGGATACACCGGGCTCTGCTCGAGAGATATTTGGGTTAATAGGATCAGGGCTAAGTGGGAAAGCTGGTGGTTGACTCCACTGCCTCATCCTCTTGATTGAGACACAAGAGCCACCACCTCTCTTTATCTGCATTCAGAAAGACCACCTATTGTGCTTGCAGCAAAGCATGGGCATTGACCATTAGGAGGAAGAATCCAAGCATTTGGTTTTCCCAGCCATTTGTTTCTCTGTGGCACGGTTATACCTGTGCTGAGTGCTTTTCCACTTACCCCAGCAGGGAGGCTGTCACTGGATGTGTGATCAACACATCCCAAAGCTATGGAATCATAGAATCCTTAAGGTTGGAAAAGACTTCTAAGATCACCAAGCGCAACCATCAACCATCCCCAACGTGCCCACTAGCCATATCCCATCAGCTGTTGTTCTGGCACATGACCTCACAGCTCCTGTGAGGAGCTGGGAGGTGATGGGGTGAGCCAGGCAGGGTGGGTTTGCATGGGGGAATGGGGCACACTGCTGGGAGCATCCCCAGGAACCATTGGGCTTCCCTCTCTGCCCATCTGCCATTTCTTCCCTTCTGTGCCACGTGAATGTGTGTTCAGGTGGTGCTTAGCAGCTATTGGCCTCTTGGTTTTTATGTCTGCTTGAAGCACGTGCTTTGTCTGGGAGCAAGGACCAAGTTCTTGCTGCCTCCAAAAGGTTGAGATTAGCCAGATCTTACATTGCAGTGGGCTTTTTTTTTTGTTTTTTTTTTTTTTTTTGCAAAACACAGGAATTTCTCCCTTACTCCTCACATACTTGTGCGATGGGACAACCTTCCCTGCTGAGTTGGGGTGAGAGATTCCTCTGGAAGCTCTGAGCGTGAAGCATAATTGGAGGAAGTGGGGACAGCAAATGGGCTGGGCATGGTCTGCAACACTCATAGAAATGGCTGTGAAACAAGCAAAATTAACATCAGTGTGAATTCCATAAATGGAATGATGCCTCAATGAGAGGCACGTGGGAGGAGATGCCTTCCTGGTGGGCACACGGTGGTGGGATCTCCTCTAAACACAACGTGCAGCTCCTCCAAGCAAAGAGCAGCGTGGATGGTTGTGTTGTGGAAGGAATGCCTTTATGTTCTGGTGCCTGCAGTCTTCGTGGGTTGGGGTTGGGAGGGGGTGCCTCCATCTCCTGCTGCGTTGGTGTAATCAGGGAAAAGGGAGGTGAATGTCAGCCAGGGAGATAAAAGGTCTAAAATGGTTAATTGGGAATTTCATTAGCCGAAGTTCACCACCTTCTTATGGAAGTTGAAAGTCTTTTGTCCTTTTTTTATTTGTGCTTTTTTGGCAAATCTGTTGGATGTTGTCAAGCTGGCGAGCGGGGCAGGAGGCGAGAGATGGATGTGTTGGGATGCACATGTTTCCATTATTGCCTTTAGCAGAAACAATCTGTACAACTTGATGTGCTGTCAGGGTGGGATGTTGGGGAGGGGACACACGGCAGTTTCTGGAATATCCCTTCTGCAGCTGAATGGGTTCAATTCCACAGAGGTGGGGTCAGCAGCAGTAACCTATTGGAAGCAGAGCACATTTTTGAGCTCAGCTTTCAGTGAATAGCCATAGAATTTATTCTTCCAGTCCGTTCCACCCAAGTGGAGGAGTGAGATGTTGCTGTTTGACAGCTTCCAGCTGTAGTGCCATGAGATCAGAGCTGGAACTTCTGCCCCAGATCATTGCTGGCCTCTTCCCATTAGAAATAGCAAAATATTTACTTAAAGTGCTGTGCTAAGGCAAAGCTTATCAGCTAAGCAGTGTTGTCATTAGGTTTATTAAACAAGTGGATAGCATACTAATTTATCTCCCTTATGTTTTAATGTTCATCATTAATATACGGCTCGTAAAATTTGGCTTGCGCTGCTGCTTATCTCTTCTCGTTATGCCCCAAGCAAATGGTTCGTGGCAGGAGTGAGGCACACAGCCCATTCACATGGGCTACAGGTTACTGGCAGATAAAAGCCAATATTCACGTATAAAATGATTGATAAACACAGACCTGAAATCTCAGCACTGATCTGCAGGGCATTACATGGGTGGTGATCCTAACCAGGAAAACCAGCATCTCCAAAGCAGGCGAGCAAACAGCAGCACGCCTGCCCCTGGTAATCCATTAATCAAGTAATTAACTAACCCTCTGACGAGCACCTCCTGCTGCTAATATGTGGGTGTGTGAGAGCAGAGTGGTGCGTGAGTGTGGCTGCTCCCCAGTGATGTGGAGTCAGTCTGAAGGCATGAGTTCCTTCCTGTTGATTTATTACTATTATTAATTTTAATTTCTCTTGAGGGGCCTGGTCACGAGCTTTTCTTGATTGAGTTCCAAAAACAGTCTCTGCTCTCTCTCTCCCCTTTTTCTTCCCAGCCCTTTTCTTTGTATCAGAGCTCAGGCAGAGATTTCCCAAATATCTCATTTGGTTAATGAAGCATTTGGGCCAGCAGGAAAGGACCCCAAGAGCTCACTCCTGCCCCAGGGTGGGCTCTCCCCAAATCTCTATTTGCCCAAATAGATTGTGTCAAACCCACCCATCTCACCCCATGTCCTAATCCCATAACCTCCATCTCTGCTACTGCTGCTTTTGAGACCATCTCATCCCACGCTGTCCTCACTGATCCAGATCTAGAGTAATGATTCCATTTATTAATGGAAGCTATTCCATTAATAATTTTTTTTTTCTCTCACAAAGAGAACTCCACTGTGTGTATCTGTAGGGAGCTGTCTTGTCTATCCCTGGTTGTCTCCCATTAAACTTTCCTGTCCCATCCCAATGTCTTCAGCTCTGCTCCATCCCCAGACAGCTCCATCCTTCCAGGCCCAGCAGCTCCCAGTAAGAGTGGGAATCTACGTGATGCTGCCAGAGCTCTGGCATCCTCCATCCCATGGGGATCTGCATGGCTCAGCTGTCTCATGTACCCTTCTTGTGCCCATTTGTCACTATTGTCCTTCACTAAATGTTCTGTCCATCAGAATTTCCATGTCTCATCTGATTCCAGCCCCATGCTGGAGGTAGGGTGAGCAGGGTCAGTGCTGCCCTGCTAGGGAGTGGGCTCTCCTGGTGCCCCATCCCTATGGTTCTGCTTCCCTGGCCCATCCGTTTTCTTCTTTCTTCTCCCTGCCTGCCAAGCATCCTCTCTCCATTACGTCTTTTTACCTTAAAAATGACTTTAAGCCCTTCTCTAGTTTCCAGGTATATTTCTGGGTGAATCCTGTTGCTGAACCTTTCCAATGCTGCAGAGAAGGAGAATTTAAAAGTGCTCTGTTTTTGTTTTTTTTTTCTTCTTGATTTTCTTTCCTGCTGATCTCAGCCCGAGGGGTTACAGAAACAACACCCAGCTTCATGTACCCATATGGGACCTCCAGCAGCCAGATGGTGCTCCGAGGGGTGGATCTCTTGCTGGAGTGCATTGCATCAGGAGTGTACGTACCATGATGGGAGCGGGCAGTCACCAGCAGCCCCATGAGGTGCTCTCATAGCTTTAATGCTGAATAGCTGGTGAAAATACCTCTGGGGGAGCATGCCCTTCATTTTCTATTAACTGCTATTAACAATATTCCCATAACTTACTGAAAGGGTAGGAGCATGAAAGCAGACAGCTGAGTTCTGCAGCACTGCTCAGAGCAAGAGGTATCTTCAGATACTTGCTGTCCAAAGATGATGCCCCATCAATTTGTCCTTACAGTGAGTTGCAGATCTCTTGGGTGCCCCTTTAGCACACTGTACTAAGCGCAGGTGAGGATGTTTGTAGTATGTGTACCAGCAGAAGTGTTCTGGGTATGGGGTGGGACTTTGGCAGCACTTCCCAGGCACAAGGTAGGACAAAAATCCCACTCCTCACCATCTGGTGATGCTCGGGTCCTGGTAGAGGGCTGTGGTAAGCAAGAGGGTGGCCCAGAGGTCTTTCTCCTTGGGTTTAGAAGGTTTTAAGTGCAGGATTTATATTAGGAAAGTTGTCTTGCAAGAGCATTTATCTCCTTCCCTCTCCTTAGACCAGCACCAGACATCATGTGGTACAAGAAAGGAGGTGAGCTCCCAGCGGGCAAAACCAAGCTGGAAAACTTTAATAAGGCCCTTCGTATCTCCAACGTCTCGGAGGAAGACTCTGGGGAGTATTTCTGCCTGGCATCCAACAAGATGGGCAGCATCCGCCACACGATCTCGGTGAGAGTGAAGGGTACGTCACTTTTACTTCACCATCTCCTTCACTTTCACAGCCAGAAAATGAGAGGGGAGCATGGGATCTCTGGAGGCCACCTGCTCCAGTTTGCTCTGTGTGTAACTGTTCCATTTGTGTGTCTTAAAGCTGCCCCGTATTGGCTGGATGAGCCACAAAATCTCATTTTGGCCCCTGGTGAGGATGGCAGGTTGGTGTGTCGAGCCAATGGGAACCCCAAGCCTTCAATCCAGTGGTTGGTGAATGGAGAGCCCATTGAAGGTGAGCCAGGAAGAGTCTGCACCTCCTATATGAAAACATAGCCAAGGGTCTCGTGGCTGACCATGGGAGCCAGAGCTGCCTCTGGGGCATTGGCCTGGCTGAGTCATGGGCAGCTGAGCCATGTCTCTGGAGGTACACAATATGCCACTGTCTCTTTTTATCTGGGCTGAGATGTAAAGATGCATAATAAAATGCAGCATCCTGTGAGTTTTAATTTAAAATTTAATGAAAAGTGTCCTTTCTGTCTTCCTTATTTTGAAGGTTCTCCACCCAACCCAAGCAGAGAGGTGGCTGGAGATACCATTGTGTTTCGAGACACGCAGATCGGCAGCAGCGCCGTGTACCAATGCAATGCTTCCAACGAGCACGGCTACCTCCTTGCCAATGCCTTTGTCAGTGTCCTGGGTAGGTGCCTGTGTGTGGACAGGTGAGCCCTAGTGTACATGGATGGAGGAAGGAAACTCCCTCAAAAGAAGTGACCATCAGAATCCAGTAGCGTGTCAGCTCATGAAACGCTTTTCCACACAGAATGATGGTTAATGCTTCCATTCTTGTGGAAGATGGAAGCCCTCTACTCAGATTTCCTTGCAAGTTATCCCTATATCCTCTGTGCTGTTAGCTACTCTGAGAATGATGTATGTGGCCTCTGCAATGGGGCTTCAGGATGAAAGTTGGTGGCCGTATGGCAGCAAAGCAAGGGTAAGGCAGCACTGTTGGACCACTCTGTTTCACGGAGTGAGGTTGGAAAGGGGATGGAAAAGCTCTGTTTAGTCTTGAAAAGCTCAATGTAGAGTCATAGAGTCATAGATTTGTTAAGACTGGAACAGACCACTAAGAGCATTGAGTCCACTCATTCAATGGCTGTCATCTTTGATGCTTGCAGATGTGCCACCACGGATACTGGCCCCTCGCAACCAGCTCATCAAAGTCATCCAGTACAACAGGACCCGGTTGGACTGCCCCTTCTTTGGCTCACCCATCCCCACCCTGCGATGGTAAGGAGTGTAGCACATCCCCTGCCCACCCACGGGGCTGGGAAGGCGGTTTCCTGCTCTTTCTTCCCTTACAACAGTACTTTGTATGGCTGTGAGGTTTAAGAACGGCCAAGGGAACACGCTGGATGGAGGGAACTACAAAGCACATGAGAACGGGAGCTTGGAGATGAGCATGGCTCGGAAGGAGGATCAGGGCATCTACACCTGTGTTGCCACCAACATCCTGGGCAAAGCAGAGGCCCAGGTTCGCCTGGAAGTCAAAGGTAGGAATACAGTGAGCTCAAGAGCAAAAGATACTCTTGGATCACCTGAATCTTGCAGCTTGAGCTGTGATGTGCTGTGAGCACTGAGAAAAGAAAACACAAAAGATGCATCGGGAATAACTGATGGCACTAAAACGTCTTCAGAATCTTTTTTTTTCCCCCCCGTTGAGCAAATTTTTTTGCTGAGACAGAAAAGTTGGTATTTTTTCAAGGATCAGCTCGAGTTAGTGGTTTGTTAAATGAGTTTGTTTGCAAGCATCTGTATCAGAGGCGGATTAGAGGCAAGCAACTGTCGTGCACGCTTGTCCCTTCCGAGGGACACCGCTCTTAAGCTTTGATCAAGATCCAAGCTGACATGCTGATATTTCCTTTGGGGTGCTTTGCAGACCCCACCAGGATTGTGAGAGGCCCCGAAGATCAGGTGGTGAAGAGGGGCTCCATGCCTCGCCTGCACTGCCGCGTGAAGCACGACCCAACGCTGAAGCTGACGGTCACCTGGCTGAAGGACGACGCTCCTCTCTACATTGGGAACAGGTCTGTGATGAATGCTTCCATCTGTCTTCTCACCAGGATTTTTATTCCCCCACTGCAAACTGTTTCAGGAGGCACCAGGGATAATAAGGACAAACGCTGAGTTCCCATCTGGGCGACAACGGCTGTTCTTGATACTTGTAATGTTATTAGCTGAGGATAATACTGAGGCTGCCTAGCAGTTAAAATTGACTTACCAGTAAATCAAGACATCGACCTTAGGCTTTATTTACAGATATTTTAGGACATCTTGATAAAAACAGGCGGGTTAATAACAAGCTACTCCAAAGTTAATGTTTATCTGTGCCAGTGGTGTAGCTGTAATTTCCTTTCCACATCCCGAATCACTTCTTGTGAAATAATGAGATGTCATCACAGGACATGAGCTGGTCAGAGGTCAGCCTGCTTTCCCAAAAGTGTGACTCTTCCAGATAAATACCAGAGCAAATTCACTGATTCTTTAGAAAATGAGGTTTCCAAGAATAACTCAATGCATCCCCAACCGATAAAATCTTCAGGCCGGAGATGTACTCCTCTTCTCTTTGGGCTCTTTTGTGTATTTTATCAGAGAACAGCTCGTCTTCAATCCTGCTCTTTAATTCTCTTCGGAACAGTTGTGTGATTATTGCTTTCATCCCTTTAAGGATGAAGAAAGAAGATGATGGTCTGACGATATACGGCGTGGCTGAGAAGGATCAGGGTGATTACACCTGCGTGGCCAGCACGGAGCTGGACAAGGACTCAGCTAAAGCCTACCTCACCGTGCTAGGTAAAGCTGTCCTCCCAGTGCACTCAGTGCTTCATCTGCACTGCAGGAGGTTGATTTCACACCGAAAGGTTGATCCGTGGCCATGGGGCCGTCCTCTAAAGCAGAGATGATGCTCAGTTGCTGGCAGAGCAATTATTGGGTTGCTGCAGGACTTGGCAAGGATGTGCAGCCCAACTTCAGCCTCTGTCAGTGCTGTTGGATGCGAGTTGAAGGAAACTTGCATTTGACACAAGAAGAAAAGCAGTTATTACACACAGCTAAAAATATCCAAATGTAGCCCTGCATTTGCAAGTGAACTTATCTGAAGCTCAGGGTGCTGTCAACCAGGGGGTGAGTGAGCTGCTCCCAGCCTTGCAGCCCCCCCCTTTTCAACATCAGGCATGACAAACCTGGAACCCATCCACCATACCCATTCACTGCCAGATCTACTCTGAAAACCTCCCAAATCTATCAGTCCCTGCTCTCGACCCCTTCCATTCTTGAGGAGGAACCCTATTTCTGGCAGTGCCCCAATCCAATGGTGATGCTGGCACAGACCCACGCTGCCATACCAGAGCAGGAGTGCAATACAAATCCCATACCCCTAATAATATGACTGGGCTTAATTTATTTCCCTTCCTCTTCCCCTAATAGCTAATTAACTTTCTAATAGAAACATGAAAGAAGGTGTGCAGGGCTGAGGGTCTCTGGGGGAAGGATGTGCTCTCTCTGGTCCCCAGGTGGGATCTGTGACTGTGTGTGACTTCGTATTTACCAGGTTCTCCTTTCACCACCCAAGCTTAATGACTAAACTAACACTGTTAACATCCAATGTCTTACCTTGCAGCAATCCCTGCTAACCGTTTGAGAGAGTTACCTAAAGGTAATCATCACTAATTCATATGGTTTATTTTATTTGGGGAGTTGATTTGTTTTTTGCCTTGCCAATAACTCCCACAGAAAATCAAGGTGTAGTGGTTGAGCACGCTGGGAGATGTTGCTTCCATGTCCAACTCAAGCTGCCCTCTAAAACCCACCCAGGTGGCCATGAGTAGAAATGTGACATCTCGTTTTGTGACATCTAGAATGGTGACAATTCTAGAGTGCAAGAATCCCCCAATCCATAGCTGGAAATGAGCCCTGAGGGTAGAAAAAAATAAATCATGTTGAATTCCTTGACTTTTACGTGGAAATAAGGTGCTGCTGTTACTGTTGTTGCATGAGAGGGCTCAGTGTGTTGTGCCAAGACAGCACAATAACCAAGTACGTATTTTCATTTAGGTTTGGTGTCCTTCCCATTCCACTTGCAATTACTTTCTGAACAGTTGCATGTAGTGTGCTGTAAGATCATATATCCTGCTAAGCCACCATCGTGCTCCCAGCATCAGATAATGTCAGTGCATACAAAGGGCAGCTCAGGTTACGAGGCAAGGCGCAATTAATACATGAGCACATTTGTATTTAATAACAAAACACGCTGAGAGCAGAGGGATGTGAGATACCCTGCAAAGCACGTGTCCTCCTGTGGGTCCAGACCAGGAGAAGGGGTGGGATTGGATGCTGCTGGGATGTTTAAGCCTCATTTATCTCATTATTTGGCCACCAGAGCGACCCGACCGGCCCCGGGACCTGGAGCTGTCAGACCTGGCTGAGAGGAGCGTGAAGCTGACATGGATTCCTGGAGATGACAACAACAGTCCCATCACAGGTCAGCGCTGGCCCCACAGCCACAGATCCTTCCGGTCTTCTCCTGTGGGGTGTGGGGAAACTTCCTCATGCTGGGCTCTGATCCCTCCATCCTCCCCTCAGACTACATCGTCCAGTTTGAGGAGGACCGATTCCAGCCTGGCACGTGGCACAACCACTCCAGGTATCCTGGAAATGTCAACTCGGCCGTCCTGAGCCTCTCTCCTTATGTCAACTACCAATTTCGGGTGATTGCAGTGAACGACGTGGGCAGCAGCCTGCCCAGCATGCCTTCAGAACGATACCAGACCAGCGGGGCACGTGAGTAGTGGTCATTGCAGCACCTTGGGGTGGATCCCACTGCTGCCATCGCTTTGGGATGAGTTTTTCCCCTCTCTGGGTTCAATCACAGGAAGAGGATGAGCTGCTCCATGCAGGTGTGTGCTGGGGGGTGATTTCATAAATTGCATCTCAAGGCTCTGAGGGATGTCCTGTGGGGTAGCAGGGCTTGAATGGCATGATTTACCCAGTGGTTCTTCCTGCAGAATCTGTTGAAGGAAGGCAAGTTACACCATACAGAGAAGCTTTCTAAAAGAGATCTTTCATCCTTTCTGACCACAGGAAACTCTTGGAAAAACAAACCAGACTTCCAAGTGTAAAGTGGCCACGAGCAAAAGACATTTTGTTCCGAATTTGCTAATTCATTGCCCACTGCTAAAGCTGGGCAGGAACCCAGGCTTATGCCAGAGTAAAGTGTGCCGCAGTCCACAACCAAGGCTCAGCCTTTGGTGTGTGCCCGGAGCTTTGTGCATTGGACAATACTTGGGAAAAGTCATATGAGAAGCTCACAGGAAGCTCAGCAGTTTTGCTGCATTTCTCCGTTTGACCTTTGTAGATGCAATATCTGCTGGCATCTAGTGTTGGGTTTTGACATTGCTCTTCTTGCTGTGGATGATTCTAAAGGGTCAGACTTGGCTCCTGGGGTTGCTTCACAATGGGTGTCTTTTAAAGATTGAGGACAAGATTTTGGGAGAGAGAAAGGAAAAAAAAAAAAAAAGGGAAGGATCCTAAATAAACGACCTGGTTTTCAAGAGTGCTGGAAAGTCTTGTGTTCCATTAACCTGAATGGGAACTTGAAACTTCTGGAAAATCAGGCCATTAACTTCTGTTTCGGAAGTAGTTTTGACCTGCACTGTAAATGGGTTTTAACCACAGAAATGCTCTTTTTTTTTTTTCCAGCACTTTATTTATTTGTTCTCCCTATGTGAATTTCAGGACCTGAAATTAACCCAACGGGAGTTCAAGGAGCAGGGACCCAAAAAAACAACATGGAGATAACCTGGACGGTGAGTTCTTCCTTGACTGCTCACAGCAATCCAATCTTATCATTATGGTCCCTGATGGATGCTAAGATAGAGCTAAGATAGAGCTCAGAATCTCTAGTGTGTGTGATGTATCACACAAAAACTTAATTATCACAATGAATAAAAGGCAGAAGACACAACTAGTAATTGTTAGTGCCAACAGGAAGGCTTGTGATTTAAAAATAGACAAAGAAAAGGTGCTAGATCACAGGTGCAGGCTAGTTGGGATGCTTGCAGAGTCTGGTCCCTTAAGCAAAGACACCCAGGGCTCTCAGACAGAGCAGTTCTTGCTTTTCTTGGTCGACCAGTAGGTGTCATCCTGCAATAAGCCAAAGTCTGTTGGTAGGCTAGAAATTGAGTGCGGACTGGAAAACGAATAGAACGGAATCATAGAATTGCTCAGGTTGGAAAGGACCTTCAAGATCATCAAGCCCAACCACAACCTAACCATACTGCCCTCACTCTATGCAGGCATGGCTTTTGGTTCTGCCTTGGGTTTGGAAAGCCAGGATGAGATAAGTGTTTTGGGGGAAAAAAAAATATAGGTCTTAGAGGTTTACCGAATATGAAATAGGAATCAGCTGCTGGACAGAACTTTTTGGAGCGCCATAGCAGAGAAATCCAGCTGTCTTTCTCTCTTAGCTTTCTTCTTCTGCTTTGCTCCATTCAGCCTCTGAATGCAACGCAAGCCTATGGGCCCAACCTGCGTTACATCGTGCGATGGAGGCGGAGGGACCCGCGTGGGAGTTGGTACAACGAGACAGTGAAGGCACCACGGCACGTCGTCTGGAACACACCCATCTACGTCCCCTACGAGATCAAAGTGCAGGCAGAGAATGACTTTGGTAGAGCACCAGAGCCTGAGACCTACATCGGCTATTCAGGGGAAGATTGTGAGTATTTTCTTTGACGGAGCTCCTAAGTGTTTCAGAGCTGGAGTCCATCTAATGTCAGTGGGTTGGCATCTATTCCTTGGGTCGTATTTATAGCATCGCTTCATTTGGCACAAAAATGCAGTTTTAAGCATTGGGAGAAGGAAGTGGAGTTGTGCTCTGGGCTCTGTCTGCAGATGCCTATGTGACCTGAACCACTTAGCCTCTCCCTTTTGCTCTGTGAAATATTCGGTGTGGAAGACTAAGATTTCACCAAGATGAGCTCTGGCTGTATTCCAGCACTCCATTTCTTTCTCCTGCCGTTTGCAGAGCACCAAGTTCATCCCCATCTCTGGAGGCATTCAAAGCCAGGCTGGATGTGACTCTGGGCAGCCTGGTCTGGTGGTTGGCAACCCTACCCACAGCAGGGGTGTTGAAACCAGATGACCTTTGGGGTCTTTTTCAACCCAGGCCATTCTATGATTCATCTTGGATGAAGGGTCTTCCAAGTGGCCAAAAAGGCTCTGGGTCACCCTGGGCTGGGTTCTTGTGCTGCTGACAAAGCCTCAGCTATGCCCAGGCTTGGACTGCTGTTTGCAGCACACAGCTGGCTCAATTTATGTCCTTTAAAACTCTCCTCTTGCTCATGCAGAAGAGCAGCCAGCTTCTTCAGCTCTCTTTCCCCTTCTTTTTGGACTGCTGGTATCACATTCTGCTTGTAGCATCCAGGTCTCCCTTTTATGATCCTGTGAGGATAATGCAGCTTGCTGCCAACAACTTTATTTTAAAAGAAATAGAAATCATTTCCTCTCAGCCCCTCAAATCAGCAGGGATCCCTGCTGGGTGACTTTGGGACCACCAAGAGGTGGAAACGCTGCTAAAAAATACTTATCTTAAAAAGCATACATGCATTGTGTTCACCTTCCAACTCAGAATAGTCTGTGATCAGATAAAAAATGTGGAGGATGAAGGTAAGTAATGGAATACTACATACATTGGTGCAGCCATAGTGTCTACCTGACCCAAAGGAGGACAGCCTAGGTGTCCAGAACTGGCCAATTGTTGCTTTTTTTAGGAAATCCTCTAAAACTGAATTGAAAGAGGGAGAAATGGCCACGACTTCTCCCCAGGAAATACCTGAGGATGGCCAGGGGGCCAGCAGATGGCAGAGCTGGAGCGTGGCTGGGCTGTGCTGGTTGCCTGATAGACGCTCTGCTTTGTCCCCAAACACCCAGATCCCAAGGCTGCACCTACGGATGTTAGGATAAGAATTCTAAACAGCACTGCCATTGCTCTGACATGGACCCGCGTGCACCTGGACACCATCCAGGGACAGCTTAAGGAGTACAGAGTGAGCAAAAGCAAATCTCTTCTCATTGTCTATTAATATGGCTAACCTTCTCACTAGCCAAGCTGGCCCCGTTGATGGAGCCACCTGCAATGGGGATGACAGAAAACTGCTCTAGCCACCCTGACCCTGTGCTATGGTGCATCCCACAGGCTGAGCTCTGCTCTGGATCAGCACCAGGAGTGAAGCCTTTGGCTGCTCTTCATCATGCCTGGGCAGTGGAAATCTCCCTTGGATCCCCAAGACCTGGGGTGACACAGGGATTGCCCTTGGGCACCAAGGGACCGATTCTAAGGCAGCTCCTGGCCCTAGAGCTGCTTCATACTTCTTCAGATAGGTACAAACAGGCTCAATTTTGTGTCATCCCCAAAGTACCACCGTTGTCTTTTAACAGACACCAACCCATGCAAAACCCAAACCCAGTACTTGGTACTAACTGGCGACTAGAGGCAGCATAGATCCTGCTGTTGTTTTTTTTTTTTTAACATCTAATGTTGAAGATTTACTGCTACGGTAAAATACCTGTGTTTATGTGTAGAAGATAAACCCTATTCAAAGCAAACCAAAGTCTGAACAGAGCCCCTTTGAGCAGCGTTAAAGACTCTTGATACCAAAAGCATCTGTGCTGCAGACAGCTATAACACTTCAAATCCAATCATTCATCAAGTGTAAGGAAAGCTCCCCGGTTGCTGCTTTCATTTCTTCTCCCTCTGTTCTGTTCTTCTGGTCTGTTTTCCAAATGAATCTTATTTCTGCATGAAATAAGATTTGCTGTCGGGGCTCTGATTCACAGACTCTCCAAGTTCTGATTTCCCCTTGTGGTTGGACGTGTCACGCCTTGCCTAACACTAATCTGGGCAGGAAGGGAGAGCTCAGTGCCCAGCAATGAGAGCTGGAGCCAGAAGCAGCTCTTTGCATCCTAACCTTAATCCTAACCCACTGCTTCCCCACCTGCCTTGCTGGGAGGTGAGGAGCTCCGTTTTGCTCTTCGCAAAAGCAAAGTTCTGCTGCGCTTTGTTGATGAAAACCAATTGCACTTCAAACGGGAAAAGCTTCATGCCATGCGTGTTTCTTGAAGGCCTATTTCTGGAGAGACAGTAGTTTGCTGAAGAACCTGTGGGTCTCCAAAAAAAGACAGTATGTGAGTTTTCCTGGAGACAGAAACCGGGGCATAGTGTCCCGGCTGTTCCCTTACAGCAACTACAAGCTTGAGATGGTTGTAACCAACGGGAGAGGCGATGGGCCCCGCAGCGAAGTCAAGGAGTTCCCCACACCTGAAGGAGGTACGTGCTTGCTGAGCTCTGATTTCAGGCATCTCAGGCTCTGCAGAGCCAACCAGGAGGAGCGCAGCTCTGCAGCAGAGCTCTGATTTGGCCAACAGCACATAAAGAGGCATTGCTTGGGGCTGAGCAAGGCACAGCCGTTGCCCTTGCTTTGCTGCTTGACCTCCACGCATCGCCCGCCCTCCCCGGTGCTGCAGCGCCGCTCAGTCAAATCTCTGCAAGAACCTCAGGACTGAATGAATGTCACCAATCTCCGACTGTGGGCTGTTCAGTTGGGAGCGCCTCGTTCTGCTCTGCAAAGAGCTCGTGTCAAGGAGGAATGGGAGATTTTAATTTTCTCCTTGTCATGGGAGCTATTTATAGAGGCGCCGATAACTTTTTGTCGGAGCGGCGCTTGCAGCAGCCGCCCATGAATCTTTCTTTAGCACAGATGTTTTTGGCACAGTGCGTTACGGGATTGCAGGGGAAAGAAACAGAGGAGGCTGGAAGCAAATCCTGTCCCAAATAACATAAAATACGATGGGCTCTTCTTTTTCTTCTTCCTGCTATACCAGAGCGCGCTCTCTTTCTCCTGTACCGTTTCCTTGGATGCTGTCACTGTTTTCTGATTGTTTTTCACTGACCAGCTGCAGTTCAGCTTGTTTAAAAAGGAAAAGTTCTGTTCTGGGACAGTAGCTTGGTGGTGGGGTGCGCCTTGATTTAGCATTTACCTGGGGGCTGGAGGCATGTCTCATTGGGATAATGGTCTTGGCATATGTAAACTATTGATTTTCTTCTTCCTATTCCACTAAGCTATTTTATTGGCTATATATTGATGCTTGGGAGATGGGTATTCTGCCAAACTTCCATTTAAGAGAAAAAAAAAAAATCAAAAAATCATTAATCTCTCAGATCAGTGAACCAAGCTCTTTCCCCACTTAAAGGCACAGTGATTAAGGAATAAACCAGGAGAATAATTAAATTCCATAGGTCATAATGCTTTCCTTCCTTTACTAGCTTTGAATAAGCAGCCATAAAAGCAGACATTCCTCAGGGTAAGGACTGCTGTATACCTGCACCGGATCCCCGTTACAGCTCCCCAGACATTAATAACACAAAGATGCTCTGCAGTAAGAAGTCGCTCTGCTTTTTCTATCATGCCAGCAGATAAATAGATGAGGCGTAAACGTCGGGCTGGGTGAGACCATGGGCAGTAACAAGACTCCAGCAGCAGTAAAATATGCAAACAACATACAGAAATGGGACACAACTGTCAGAGTGCTCCCTTCATGGCTGCAGCATCCGTTGTGGGTGCCTGGTTGAGCGTGGTGATGGGGGACAGCAGTCCCCAATGTGAGGGCATGGTGCATGCTGAGCTGCTGTGCTGCTGGTAACACAGGGCTAGAGCATGATTCCTGGCCTAGATTGTTGTTCTGTCAGTATCTGACCTTTGAAGTGTGTTTGTACGTGGTTGAATGTCTTGAGTTTTATCAGGCAGCCTGCGTTGTGTACAGTATTGTAAGGTATGTTATCTTGTATGTTTTTTCTTCTTTCCCTTTTCTTCCTGCTCCCGTCCTCCTCCCAAGTGCCCAGCTCCCCCAGGTACTTAAGAATCCGACAGCCAAATCTGGAAAGCATCAATTTGGAGTGGGATCACCCAGAACATCCCAATGGAGTCCTCACGGGATACAACCTTAGATATCAAGCCTGTACGTTCCACATCTTATCTTATATTAGTGACAATAGCTAAAAGTCATTCAGTATTTTCCTTGCTACTGAGCTACCTCCTTGCCTAACACGAAAAGCAATCTATAGGGAGTGGGATGCTTCTAACATCAACTGATGGTACTGAGTCCTGGAGTGGTGCTGGGCACCTGCAGCTCACAGTTGACCACAGAGAGCTGTGGATGCTCAGTAGTTCTCCACCCCCAGCCCCTCGAGGGAAATCAGCTTGACCTCAGACTCCTGCAGTAAGTGATGCTGCACACTGTATGGCCCAGTGTGATGTCTGGGGAGCCCAGTTTTATCTGAATTCTTGACACTTGTGCTAAGCTTTTCCTTAGCCATCTCCACAACCCTGAATGTCCTCAGCAGCATGTTCCCAGACAAGGCATATCTGCCCCCAGCTGCAGGTCCTGCCCTTGGGAACAGGTAACGCTGCAGAACCCAAGCTGAAGCCACCACCACCTGCCTTTCCTCCCCAGTTAACGGATCCAAAACGGGCAGAACCCTGGTAGAGAACTTCTCTCCCAACCAGACAAGGTTCACCGTGCAGAGGACAGACCCCATCTCGCGCTATCGATTCTTCCTGCGTGCTCGGACACAGGTGGGAGATGGAGAAGTCATAGTGGAAGAGTCACCAGCACTGCTGAATGAAGGTGAGTGCAGGGCAGCTCCTGGCATTGGGTTGCAGGTGGTGATACAAGCGTTGGCTAAGAAGTGCAGGTCAGAGGATGCAGTGATCCTCAGCCCAAAGCAACCAGTGTCAGATAACTGGTGTATGTCTGCTACCTGCTGCAGCAATGGGCAGACAGTCCTGTGTGCTCTTGCTTGATTACCCTAAACATGTCTCTTTAGGTTTGGATATTAGGCACAATTTCTTCTCAGGAGGAGTGGTGATACATTGGCACAGCTGCCCAGTGAGGTGGTGGGGTCACCATCCCTGGTGGTGTTCAAGAACCGTGGAGATGTGGCACTGAGAGACGTGGTTGGTGGGCATGGTGGGGTTAGGTTAGGGTTGGATTTGGTGATCCGAGAGGTCTTTCCCAAACTCAATGAGTCTATGATTCTTCAGAGCTCAGTGATGCAGACAGGCACAATCTCAGCTGCCTCCATAAGAGCCAAATTCGGGGCTGATGATTTCTACACCACTGGAAGGAGGTGCACCTCAGTGCCCCTGCCTTGCCACTCTGCAGCCAGCACTGACCCCCCCTCAGAGCCACAGCTCCCAGACTCCTAACGAGATAAAACGCCCCTTGTGAGGCATTCATCACACTAAGTGAAAGTTCAGGAGCCCTGGGGGAACTGAGGAGACAAAAGCTGGCTCTTTCCTTTCTTCAGCCTTTGCTAAAAGACCTATGATTTAGTTAGCCCTCAGATTTAATGGAGTTTTTGTCTCCTTTCCTCCATCTCCTCCTCCCCAACTAATGGCTCTGAGTAGGAAAAGCAATTCCTACTGACGACCCAGAGGAAATGAAATGCTTCCTGACACTCTTCAGTGGGCTCCAGCATCACTAATTGATGCGATAGGATCAGAGATGGGGCTGCATATGCTAAAGAAAAAATCAGCAAAGTTGCACATTGGCAAATATGAGAAGGGGGGAAAGTTGATGCTTCAAAGAGAAGATCTGCTGAAAAAACAGAGCATAGGGATTGGATCAAAGTCGTTGGTGCTGATAGTGGTTCTGATTGTATTTTAAGCATTTGCTGTACTGGATTTGTTTCTATACGGTGGCAACGGTGACTGTAAGGACAGCATTGCTTAAAAATGCCTGAATGGTGATGGTATATTGCTTAACTGATTTGTATCAGAGAGCAGTGGGTGCAGACTACCAGGATGCCAAGGTAAGTGCTGAGGGCTGCAGCCCCTGCAGCATGGAGGAAGGATGGAGCACTGTCATCAGAAATTGGGAAGGGTCAGATCCTGAAGCAAGGTTACAGAAATGAGGCACAGGTTGATCTCAGAACGTGAAACCCTGAGGTAGAATTCAACATAGGCACATTCTGGTAATGGCAGATGTGTGTGTGCAGTTAGCAGCTCTCAGTGAGCTGGGTGTTGTGGTGCTGCTGTGCAGCAATGTGAAAGAAGAATCTGGAATTAAAGAAATATAAGAAAGGTAAACCCATTGACATTCAGGGGTTAATTCCTGCTTGCCAGCCTCATTCACCTGAGAAATCCAAACAAAATACAGCTTTCTGGTGGTCTGTATGGCAGGCTCTGACTCTCACAGCAGAGGATGAGCCCTGCCCTTAGAGTGGCACCAGAAAAATGAAGGCAAAATTCATTGTCCAAACCTGTCCTTGCTGGGATGAGACATAAACACCTGCTGAAGAGCTTTGCTGAACCAACACCTCTGGGATCTCTGCCTTGGTCTGTGTGCCACCGGCTCCAAGGGGCTGTGCTGCACAGAAGGGCGATGTGTTGCAGCTAACGCATTGGTGTCCTCTCTCTCATGTCTCTGTTGACTACGTGGAGTGGTCCGAGTCTCCTGTTGGTGTGTTCTGGCTGTTTTATCTATTCCTTTGTTTTCTCTTCCCTTCTCTTCTACGCTGTCCTCGTATTCCCCTCTCTATCCTTGGCGCTGCCCTCTGAAGCCACGCCAACCCCAGGTATTGTACCAGCGGAGGAGGTAACAGGCATGGGGCAAGGCTCACCCGCTCGCGTGCGCTGCCAATTAAGCATGCACTCCATTAACCCTTTCAATGGGGAGGTGAAGCAGCAGGGGGTCTAAATTGGGCACGTGGAAGGATGGCAGGTAGCACCGCAGGCGGATTAATGATAGCCAAGCAAATCTCACAGCCAGCTAGCCTGAATGATGAGGTTGTAAAGCCCAGGTCTGCACCAGCCTTCTCTCTTTTCAAGCCTCAGCATCCCTGCTGTGAGAAATGCAGAGAAACCTTCACCAGTGGTGCCCACCCTGTTAACCAAACGTGCTGCTCTTTTGCCTCCTGGTGACCATTGAAAGGGTAAAGGACAATGTTTGTGCCACAGCTGTGCATGTCTGCATGCGAGGCTATCGCTAGCTTTGCCCTCTATTGCGTATTTCTACACCAGCATTGAAGCACAGAGAAACCTTTCCTCAGCAAGGGGTACACACCTGCTTCAACAAAACCCAAACCCCAATTAATCCGGTGTCCAACTACCCAGTGTCAGCAGTGCAAAGCATTACCAGAATTTCTTGCTGCCCAGAGGACATCTACCTCCTAGAAAGCTGCAGCCAAGACTTCTACTCCTCAGATCTGTATTTCCACAGGGTTATACAGCCCTGTAAGCAGGAGCAGTGCTAGGGGATGCATCCAACCCCTCAGTGCTGCAGAAAAGCTTTGGGCTGCCCTGCGCTAGGGTGCTGTGTGAGGTCGTGCTTTGCCTTTGCTGGGTGCAGCCCTGAGACCATGGGGCTTTCCAGACACTGCCAAAGTGATAAAAGTGCAGGACCTGCTCTGTGCACCCTTAGGTTTTACTTCCCTACCTCATAGACGTTTCTCTTCCTCCTCCTCTTCCTTTCATTTTGTTGCAGTGATGTCTCTACTCAGTATTATTTTGCACTTTTTCCCTTCTGAATAGATGCCAGTCTTTTTCCTATTGTATTTTCCTTAAATATCCATATATCCATATACATTAGGGGCTAACAGATTGGTCTGCTTTGGCTGGTGGGAAGCTGAAAAGTGGCACGACCCCTTGGCTCAGAGGAGCAGAGCTCCTGCTGCAGTCAGGTTAGCTCAGCCACGAGAATCCAGCTTTTCTTCCAAAGCACTTTCCTGCTTTCAGTGGATATTGCTGAACTCCAAAAGCACAATGCAATCTCTTTATCCTTCCAGCATCGTATCGATGCAGAAATAACTCTTGGACTTCTGGCAGCCAGATGAACTCGTTGCCATCCAAAGGATAAGATCATTAAATTCTGCTGGAATAGGGGGCATTCCTCTATTTTTACTTTCTGATAGGAGCAATGGCACAGAGGAAAGATAGGCGAGCACTGGAAGAAGGCTGAAAATCCATAACCGAAGCAGCAGTGCTCGCTGGGCAGCACTCTGCAATGTAATTCTCCAAGAGGGATGAGGGCAGGGGAAGGTGTAGCATTATTCAGAGCAAATCCTCATCTTGATACTGAGCTGAGCATCATTCCTTGTTAGGGCGCATCCCGGTACTTCAGGACCAGCTGTGCCATGTATTGGTGTTGGTAGTGGGATGCTGCTCCCCTTCCCAAAAAATACAGCCCTCTGGTGAATATTGTTTGACCTTTTTCAAACGATTCCTCTCTGCAGGGTGGAGTTTGTGGATTTTATGGATTCTTGGGGAAGGTTGCCCAAAAGTGCACTACAAGGCTATTTGCCATGGGCTCTAAAAATGGCCTTTTTTTTCCTGGGAAGCCTCACTCATGAGGCCATTGCTGCTCTGTAGGCGCGTGAGAAAGTGGACCAAGTTGATGGAAGTGAAGGGCAGAGACTTTACCTTAGAAAGGCTTTGCGTTTCCTGAGCCACAGCTGGACAAAGGGCGAGGTAATGTGGGGAAAGGGTGGCACACAAAGGGCTCTCATTTATGCTATGAATGACACCACCAAAAAGCGCATCCCATAATAATACCCGGCGTCCATCCCTTCATCAGGGACCGTAAGAGTACTGGCCTTAGACTTTTTGGGGAAAAAAAAAACCAACAAAAAACCCAACACATTGATTTGTTTGTTCTCTCCTCGTTGCTCCATAACGACAAAGCAGAGGAGAAAGCCCCGATTGTTCATTTTGGAAAGGGACAGCAATAGAAATACAGAAAACTGCTGACCCTTCTCTTTTAGAGGGCATTCAATTGCTTCTTTCTGCTCTTGAATTTCTTAGAGCTGTCAGATTTGGAGCTTTTTTGTTGTGGGTTGTTTTTTTTTTTCTTCTTCTTCTTTTTGATAACGACTTAACAATCTCCTTCTGTTGCTACAAACTGGGAGAGGGAGAGAAGTCTGCAAACGTATTTGGCTAATCATCTAAATTCATGAAAAATTCATCAAATTTCTCCAAGCCTAATTATTTTGTAGACACACCCAAGGGAAAGCTGTTACCGCAGCCTAACAACACATTAAAAGCACCTTTAAATAATTAAAGAGCAGTATGGCTGGGCTATTATTATTATTGTGTTTTGGGTTTTTTTTTAGTATTTTACAAAATCTTGCCAACTGCTCACCCAGCCCCCATTGGAGGGGCTTGGAGCAGGGTTCAAGCCCCTCTCCCATGCCTTAAATTCCCCCTTTTTTGCTTTTGTGTTTCTTCCTTGCAGCACTGCCCGACCTGAGCATCCCCAGTTTTGATGACTATCCATTCCCAACCATACGAGCTGTATTGCTGCTAAGAGAGCAAACCTATTGGCAGCCCTCCTGCTGCACCCATCTCATCACTTACCCTTTTAATTGCTACAGCCAGACTGCTGCATCCCTTGTCCATTATAGCAGCGTCTCCTCCCCACCGTGCCCCTTGGTCTCCATTACCAGGAATGCTAATGCATCTTGTAGACAGAAAAAGCAATCAGTGCGTGGCAAAGATGGGACCGATTTATGAGCTAACTCACATGTATTTCCAGGAAGAGGAGCTCATCCATGCAGGGAGCCATATGCTGGCTTTCACTTGGGGTTTTCTGGATAAATTGGGGCTATTTGAAGCCCTGCTCCCTTCCACACACCATCTTTCAGGGTGCACTCTACCCTGCATTAAGAACGTGGCTGCCCATTCTCGGCAGCACCTCCTGCAAGCAGGGAATGCAGAAAGAGAAGTGCAGCTACTCTGCAAAGCTCAGAAACGCTAGAAGCCATAAATGTTACCCCTGCGTTTTTGGAACGATGCGCACAATTTCTAGATGGGTATCATCTGGCAAAAGCAAGCAGTTGGTTTGAGCAGATCCGGAGCTGCCAGCTATGATGAGCAGCGCCCAGGTTGCAGCACGGGGCTGTGGAGGGGAACTCATTTCTTTGGGGGCAGCGGGGAGCTCTGATCTTCTGTCAAAGCCGTCTTTACCTCCCCCCAACCTGAACTCAGCACTCATTAGGGGATGGATTTCAAAGGCTAGCAAATGCCCCTTATCTTCTCTCCCCCAAATCTACCAGCTGAGCTTTTCCTCTGCATACATTTCGTATTCAAACACAAATGAGGCTGCAGCTGCGAATCCCGAAGCAGAGAGGACCAAATCCCTCAACCCAGCAGGAGTCCCGGCTGCCCTCCTCCTGCCCGATGCTGTCCACATGTGCTCCCCTCGTTGACCTCCTGCTTTAACAAGGACTTAACCTGCTGCTAGAGCCATTGCAGCGGTGCTGGCTGACGCACGCGGTGCGCTCGGGTGCAGCCTGATGGATCAACGTGGGCTGGGAGCTGGGCATTGGAGCAGCCTTAAAGCAAATTGCTTGGGGCTCTGTCGTGTTGTCTTTTCCTTCGCTGTGAATCAGGGATTCGCAGAGGAAGTGGTGAGGTTGCATTAGCTAATAGCTAGCTTCCACTGCTCAGGTTGGACTTTGGATGTTGTAATCTTAAGGAGGAGTTGCAGCAAAATTGCATTAGAAGTAACCATGCCAATGGCTTAACCTTCCAAAAAATGGTCGTACCTCTCGCCCTATTTGCAACCTACAGCCCCAGGACACAGCAAAGCAAAGCTTGGCAATGAACTGAGATAAAGCAGTGCAGAACAGCAATCCCTAATCCTGCTGTCACAACTGAGATTGCTGGGGCTTTGCTATGCCCCACGCTTCCACGAGAACCAAGTTGTGCAATGTTCCAGCCTGGCTCCCATCACTATCACTGCCGTCTGTCTGGGTTGGGATGTGTTCCACAATGCTGGAGTGTTATGGGGAGGGGAGGGTTGTTCCTTTCCTGCCCCACCTGGTGCTGCATCGCTGCATGAGGCTTCTGCAAGGCTGCGTCGGTCCCTGCGTGGGGTGCCATGGGTTGCATTGGGTTTGCTGTCATGGTGTGCGCTGGTAACGGGGTTTGACTGCAGCTGCATGCAGTAGGGAGGTGGCCACAACGAGCCTCGGGACCGCTGGGATTTTAAAGGTTGGGGGTCTCTTGGGGTCTTAGCTGCATTCTCTCAGAACTTTCCTGCTGTGCTTGTGGGCTTGAAGGGAGGTCTGCTTCCATACAAGCCAACCTGGGACTGAGCTGGTGAAAAAGCAACCCTGGCTTTGATCTTGGGTGGTTTTTAAAGCACATTCCTCACGCTATTCTTATTAGTGGGTGATATTTGTAACAGCCATTTTCATTTGCCTGATGGGGATTTGTAATCCCTTGATCTGTAGTAAGAGTAAGTAAATACAACTTAATGCAAGCACCACGGGATTTCCTTTACTCCAGGCAGTTTAAGCAGCTCCTCGGCTGTGTTTTCTGCTGGCAGGTTTTCAGGCAGCAGAAATCGCCTTTACAGAGCAATGCTCACTCATACCTGAGAGCATTCAGCAATGGTTTCCAATGTCCCCTTCCATCAGACATTAGCCAGTGGTACTGCCATCTCCTCTGCAAATTCCCTCTGTGTTCCCATTAGCAAAGCCAGCTGCAGCCCCCTGCTCCAGCTGAGGGCTCTGGTCCCATTCGTGGCCACTGAGGATCACAGCCCTGACTCAACACAAAGCTAGAAGATGTCCTATTGCCTCCTCAGCTAGCCCAACCCATGCACCTTCCCTTGGTGGCATTTAGGAGCTTTTGCAAGTACACAGAGGGATGTGGACATAATGTGCATATTGACCTTATTGCTCACAGCAGAGCTGAGATGTGCATGGGGCAACTGGGGGCTAGTGAGAAGGCAAATTGTACTAACTTCTCATTTGGAAAGCTTAAGGTATATCCTACATTAAGTGTAAATTTTGAGGGGCAGTGATGGCAAAGCAGCACCCAGAAGAGCTACACCCACATTAATGCTAAGGCTGCTTCATCACCATCCTGCAGGACCAGTACACAGAGCAGCAAGAAGGAAGCAGCTAAGAAGCTGCGGGGCAGATTGGCAGCTAAATAATGCAGGGGCTGCCAAACACACTGAACTGGGGTTCGCCTGGCCCACAGCAGATGGGCTTTTCCTATGAGCTCAGTCTGGGCGCTGCTCCCACTGATTGTGATGGGGAAGGGACCGTGGGTCTGCGTGGTGCTGTGCTCGATGCTTCCCCTCTGCTCGGTGTTGGGAATGGTGTGTGAGAGCCCCAGGAGCCATAACTGCTTCTTGACAGCCAGCATCTGCCTTTCCCTCTGCCAGCCTCCACCTGGTTGCCTCCACCTACAACCGAGCTAACTCCAGCAGCCACCACTGCCACCACCACCGCCACCCCTACTACTGAAACCCCTCCTACTGAAATCCCTACTACTGCCATCCCTACCACCACCACTACTACAACCACCACAGCTGCCAGCACCGTCGCAAGCACTACAACAACTGCAGAGAGGGCTGTGGCAGCCACCACAAAACAGGAGCTGGGTACTGCGCTTTCCTTTTCCTCTAACCTTTCTAACCCTATGGGACCTTTCCCATTTCTTGCTCAGGGCGAGGATTAATAATGGGGACAGAAAAAGGCATCCCGTGCTTTGGGAATGGTGTTGCAAGGAGCCAGAGGTGGTACAGGCTCAGGGTTATGGTGGTGATTTGGGGGTCCTGCTGCCCACAAAAGGGGGAACGCAGCTCTGCCTGGGGTGTCGTGATGTTGAATTAGCATCAGGGTTGGGAAGGAGGTGGAAGACCCTATAAAGTATTATCTTACCTTTATTGTCCTTAAAAAGGGGTTCTGCTGCTATTATAGAAGATGTCGCTTCGAATTTAGCACATCAGCTGTTAGAGAAGAGAGCTGTCACAGCTCATAGGAGTCTTTTGGTTCATGGTGCTGCTCCCTGCATCGTACCCTGGTCGTAGCCCACGGGAAACCTGGGCAGGTGGCTAAAGGTACAGCTGTGCTCCAGGTGTTACCCAGCTCACCACGCAGCCATTGTGCAGTCAAGCAGGGTGATCAAACTGCATTGGTGTGGGCATATTCTCTACTTTATATGGGGAGAGGTGTCCCTCTGAGCCTTGCTTTTAAAGAAACTGCGATGACGGGCTCTCTGGTTAATGAATAATGGTTGTATTTGAGTTGCTCAAAAATGAGTCGAGGGAGCACAGCCAAAGGAATGCAGTTACGTAGCTGGATAGGATGCACTCCAAAATGTAAGAGCAAAAGCTACAGAACTCTTTGTTTGCTCTTTAAAGAAGGAAAGGAGACTGTAGTAATGAATATTAAACTTGACACCGGTTTACTTCAAGGAATTTGATAAAAGCAATTCAAGCCACTTTCTGCCTAAATTCAGCTCAAGATGGTTAAACCCAACACCCAACGCATGCTGGGAGGCCCTGGGTCCATCTGAGAGACCCTCTGCAGTAAGAGAGATCTGAGAACCCACAGCACATCTCCTCCTCTGCACTAGTTTGCTCTTTAAGGCTGCCATCCTGACTGAGGAAACAGATTTGTGCTTTGGCTCACGGCAGGCAACCCTCCCAGGAGCAGCTCCAAAGCCACACGCAAAGGAGACACGGGCATGGATTTGTGCTGCCCTAACAAAACCAGTTTAAAAACTGGTGCGAGATAGCAAGGTGCAACTTCAGCATTATGAATGAGTCCATAGCAATGAAGCAGGTTCATAAAATTGTTAGCAGAACGCAGTCACAATTCAGCCAGCACGTGGGGAAAATGCTGCTTATTGAGACCAGGTGATGAGCTGGTGAGGAAATGGGAGGCAAGGAGGCAGAGGAGCAGTGAGAGTCCCTAATGGCCCCAGGGCCATGAGCCCAGAGCCCGACCCTAATGTGAGCAGACAGAGAGACTCCCACTTCCCCACCATGGGCTCCAACCCCTATCCCAAAAGTCCCACAGCTGTCCCTGTTGCAGGAATGGAAGGCACTCATCTGTGCATCAACCCAAAACTGGAGCTGCACCCCTTAAGTAAACAACATTAATAGCAAAACGGAGGTGTGATGCATCTGGCGGGACATGCACGCATGCTAAATAGTGGATTAGCTCCACTTCACCAGAAATAGAAGTTCATCCACTCTCCAAAGCAATGTCGACAATCCTCAGCTTCAAAATCAGAAACGAGTGACTTCATTGCCCCACTGGCTGTCTGAGCCCCAGTCAGATGAAGGCATTCGCTCCCAGTTGTGGCAGTGCGGCTGTGTGCGCTCACGCATGGATCTCCTGTGTTGGTTTAGGCATGAGTTTAGCCAGGAGATTTCCCTATGGACCAAAATCCACACAGAATTGCCACAAAAGCCAAAATTTCTGAGATAAACTGAGTGCAGTTGGACTTAAAACCCAGCATGCCGTGAGATACTGAACTTCCTCCAGCATTTTGAAGTCAAGGTTTGCATAGGAAACGATTACATCTTCAGGTACGCTCATAGGTTAAGACTGAAGCATCAATTTTAGGAATGATTTTATAAGGTTTTACCAACCCTGGCTGCTAGGTGAGCTCTCGTCTCGGTATAATCCAAAATACTAACTCCTGTTCTAACCTATTCACCAGCCACCAATGGATCGTCCATATGGGACATAAGAGCTTGGGCTAATAGTAACTGGGCAAACATCACCTGGAGCCACAATTACTCTGCAGGAACTGACTTTGTGGTTAAGTATATCACCAGTAAGCATCAGATCGCGTGGGGAATCTATAGGGTGGTGATGCTGCTGGAGATTCTGCCAGCTCCCAAGGGCTGCAATTGCTAGTCTTAATTACTGTGCATTCCATGTGCTCGTGGTTGTAAGACGTTCATACTCACGAACCACCGATGAGCACAGCTGTTTTTCTGGGGGCTGTTTGTAGAGCTGGGCTATATGTAGTCTCAGCATAAAGAGACTTGAAATATATCTGCTTGTATGTATAAAACAATCTTTCATAGAAAACAAATCGGATCTACACAAATTGGAGGGCAAGGTTATACGTCTCTGGAACAGGGCTTGCTGAACTGGAGCTGGCAGAATCACCTCTGACCCCAAACCTCCTGTCGTATCGGATATCTTTGTCTCTTGCAATTGTAAGGCTGCCCGTGGAAACTTCAGGCCGATATATCTGCTTTTAGTGCTCGTTTAGAACAGGCGTTTGTTTACCTGCTGGTTTGGATTTCTTGTAGATAGGCAGCGATGAGCGCTGCTTATCTCTGTCTTTATTTCCCAGCCATTTCAGCCTTACTGTATGGCACATCGATCTTAAATTGGCATTTTAAACAAACAGTCATCAACAGCGAATCACTTCTGGTCACACACTGAGAGCTGACGTTGCTGCTTACTTAAACCAGCTTGGGAGGCACCATCAGCGCCCGCTCTCGCTCTGCAGCCTTTGTTATCACAACAGGGAAGGGCACCATTTCCCCCCTTCTGAACCATTTTCCACAACTGGGGAGACAAACATTGGTTGTCCAAACTCTAAAGGCCAAATATCCCAAGCTCCAAACTCATCTCCTCCCAGCCCAGCTGGGCTGCAGCATCCAGCCCATAGAAAGCATCCTTAACCTGCAGGCACAACGCTAAGCACAGGAGCTGGTCCTTTACCCAGTCCTGCAGCACAACAACTGAATGGGACCAGGCAAATCCCAGACCTTTGTTATAAGCACTCAAACACCCAGACCTACGGCTGGGCAGATAAAGCATCTGTCAGGTCTTAAGAATAGGGAAAAATCTGGTCAGCTCTCCATTGTTTAATTTTTAAGTACAGCAAGCAGGGATGCAGCAAACCACCTCGCTGTTTTTCCTTCTATCTGAGGGATAATCACGGCACTGCTCACAGCCCCCTGACCACCGTGCTGTATTATTTCTGCTTGGTGGCTCAGGCCAGCACGACGCAGCGCCTGCGGTGCCAGCACAGCCACCTCCCGCGGCTGGCTTTGATGTGCGGTTTCTGTTTCTCAGGTAACAAGACAGAGAAATCTATCCCCGTTAAAGCTCAGACCCCCTCCTCTGTGCAGCTGGCCAATCTGACGCCGGGGATGGTGTACAAGCTGTGGGTGTTCCCCATATGGTCTAGCCCCAGCGAGCACTCGTACATAACCTTTACCACCAGCTCAGGTGAGCGGGGCTGCGTGTCCAATGCATGTCACTGCGTCCCCACGGGTGGCACCGGCGTGGTGGTGGGAGGGGGACAAGCACAACCCTGCCCTTAAGAGCCAGCCGAGCATCCTGATTGCATTGAACAAAGGGCAAAAGGAAGGGGTTGAATCAGGGTGAGGAGCACGTGCATGCACCTCGTGGCACTGCGCATGAGTTGGGGACGGCACCATAGCCACACACGGTGAGGGCAATGGCTCTTCAGCTCGGTGAAAGGCAAGGTATGTTCCCTCGGCAACTTTGCATTTAATTGCACAAGCAATTTTCCAGGCTTATCACCTCAGTGATTTTTAGAGCTTCCTAATTATGGGCTTCCTACACTGCCCACTGAATGCCACAGAAGGAGCCTTACTGACTTCCACAGGCACTCAATCAGGCTTTATGCATTTCTAAAGCATCCCTGTTGACACACGATGAGTGTCAGTAAATCACGACGCCCGTGCTTCCCTTTGTGTCCGCTCGTGGGTTGTGCCGTAGGAATCTGTGTGCAATGCTGTCCGAGCAGAGGGCTCAGCTCTGCACAGCAGCTGTGTGAGCAGCACCAGAGCAGCCCACGCTGCAGTAGGTAAAGGCTGAGATTTCAGAGAGCTGAGATTACTTTGCTGAGATGTGATGGAGAGCTGAAGCACGAAGGCCATCTCTTTGCTCAGGAGCAAAATATTCCCAGCAAAGGAAGGCTGCAGCAGCAGCAGCTCTCCCCACCTTACTCCACGCACCTGCAGCCCAAGTGCTAGCAAGGCATTGCTCCATCAGATAATTCCCTGGTGTGCTGAGCAGGGACAGAGGGCAGCTGTTGGTAATCCTGAGTGTCCAACACTACCCAATGCTTGTATTGCCTCAGGCACAGCAGCATGGTACACCTCTCCATGAGGATGTGCAGCATCCCCAATTTCTGCTCCCAGACTGACTCAGAAATTGCCCCCAGGTTGCAGCCCCCTCACCCGTACCATGCAATACCCTTCTGCATCACTGCTCCCCACCTCGGACCCGTCTCTTCTCTTCTCTTGCAGCTTTTCTCCCTCTCTGGGTGTTAGGGTGGAGGACCACCAGCACCATGGGGTGGGAAATCATTAGAACAGGAGGTCACATCCTTGGCTGATTGATGCTGGCATGGCTATCTGCAGTAATTGATGGGTTTCTACTGCTGTTACGGAAACAATGCACAGGGACGACCCAACCCTGTCCCCACAGCTCCATCCCTGCCCATTTTTCACTGCTAGATTCTGCTGAGACGGGCGCTCAGCCCCCGCTGACAATCACATGCTGCAGGAATGCTGGTGATCAGAGAGCCCTGTTCATTTTGCTTGTTGGTTGTAATGTTTGCCAAATAGCTGTTCTTCAGATCGAATGCAGATAAATAAGAGGTCCACGCGCACCACGCCTTCTCTTCTGCTTAACTTGACAGCTCAATATCCCAAAAGAGCTCTTTCCAATAGTAAATGGCATTTAAACTACAAATATAGCTTAATGCAAATTGTCTTTTAAATTCAAGAAGCAATGTAAAACGCTGAAGGGGGATCTGTGCTGGACTGCAGCTAGCTGGGCTTCACACACCCAATTGCTTCACAAACGTGACATAAATTTTGCTGGTCTGCTGTCAGAATACAGTCAGCTTTGCTACTGGCGTATAAACCACGACTGTTGGGTAACATGTTTTCTGCCACAAGATTATAATTACTTTTCTTTTACAAAAAAAAAAAAAAAAAAAAGCTACTGCAGTTGCATTTCAGATCAATACCAGTTCGATGCCACAGCTGCTTGCCACTATTTACCCTCGGCGTCAGCCTTACATTAACACAAATCAGAACGCTCTCTCTGACAGCCGTGTGCTTACCCTTCTCTTTCCGAATGCTGCAATGACAGTCACTCGTTTACTCCAAAAACAAAGATGGCTGTGACTATGATTTGTCGGCACGTGTTGCTTTTTTGGGAAGGATGGCAATCACACCTCTACCTTCATGGCATGCAGTGCCACAGTCCTGCTGTAGGATCCCCCACTGTGCAACCAGCTCAGCCCTAGTCAGCATGGAGCTCAACCCTTGGGCACACTTGAGGCTTTGAAGAGCCCTCCATTCCCCCTTAGCACTGCTTTCTGCACAAACCCCACCAGTGCTGCTAAAACCACCTCCTCCCATTTCAGATCTCTCCAGTAGAGCTCTGTTTCTCTTTCCTCCTCAAGCACTTGAGTTAATTGAATCCAATTCTCAGCTCCTCTCTGTTCTAATCTCATTCTCTCGACTACAAACAGTCCATCTACGCAGCTCAGGTTGTTTTAAATACCGAATGTGGCAGTATTAAAGGAAAAAAAAGCAACAAAAGAGAGCCAAGGCAGCACCCTCCCACCCAAAAAGCAACACCGAGTGTTCTGCATCCAACATCGTTTCTTTAGCAAATGGTACTTTCTTGTCAATCTCATTCTCCTCTTTTATCTGCAATTTCTTTGCGTCGTGCTTTGGCTGCAATTATCTGCCGACAGCGTGGCTCAGATTTCATCTTAAGGAAAGCACCTGTTATCTCAAGTCGGTTTGGAAAGAATGATTTTGGGAGGAATAATAGGAAGCGTACTGAGTGTGCTGTCCAAGGGCTCACTCTCTGTTACTGCTCCTGGTGCAGAGGATGGTGGGTTTAAATCCAATTATTTCAAGGCAGCTCCACAAGACAGTTGCGTGTGCTGCCTCCCAGGTCTTGTTGGCTAGAGTTGACTCGTCTAATTAAACGAAGCAAAGTCTGGAAGCAGCAGCACATCCCTCCCTCGAACTCCACAGTGCCAATATCAGGGAGCAGCAGCAGCAGCAGCAGCAATCCCATTGTTTCAGATTGCTTTTTGGCACGAAAGATGCTCCATCCTTCCCATTTGGGGCAAACCCCCCCATTAAACCCCTGATTTGATCCCATCCAGCTCAGAGCTCCCTTACTCCAGGAACACCTCTCTGTCTGCTCCGCAGCCCGGTTGCTCTCAGCCCCCCGCTGTGCTGTGAAGGTTATTTTCTCCTCCACTCTGTCTTGCTGAATACCAAGCGTGTGTCAATGAGAGCCCAAGAATGGCAGCTCGTTGCTATTTATAGGAGACAGATGTGTCGGTCTGACCGCACACGGGTGTTGCGTGCAGCACGGCAGGGCATGGCTGCAGGAGCAGGACACCTCTCCTTGCTCAGTGTCAGTGGTACAGTGACATCCCAATGCTCCCAAACCACGTCTCAGCAAGCTGGGATGTTCCTTGAGGATATAACAGTAACCCTGCCCATGGCAGGGGGTTGGAGCTTGATGCTATTTAAGGTGCTCCCAATCCAAGCCATTCTATGATTCTACGACCTCCCAGAGCTCTGCACCTGCTGCTTGCTCATACACTGGCCAAGCTAATGCACGCCAGGATTGCATCTTTATCTTGGGGCACCTCGATCCCAGACCTCCAGGGCTGCTTTCAGGTGCAGGATTTGCAAGATCAAATCTGTTTACCCAGCTTCTTTTGCCGTTACTTTCAATGCCTTTTCTCACCAGTCTCTGCTAGGTTTTCCTTTACGCTGTGACCCTTTGCTGTTTGTAGCTCCTGCTAAAATGCTGAGTTGACCCACCATTAAAAAAGCCACAGATCCCTGTGCTATGGCGTCAGATAACCCAGAAAACACACACACACACACATATATATATATACAAATGCAGTGCTACAGATAGCGTGGACTAAGTCCTTCTGGTCATTTGTTTCTCCCCACTGTCCTGACCTCCCCTTAGAGCTTTTTCCTTTGTCCATTTTCCTCCCAGCCTACACCAAGAACCACGTGGACATCGCAACCCAGGGCTGGTTCATTGGGCTGATGTGTGCCATCGCTCTCCTGGTCCTCATTCTGCTGATTGTTTGCTTCATTAAGAGGAGCAGAGGAGGGAAATACCCAGGTAAGAGGGCTGTGGGGTGATCCTTTGTGCTGTAAATATCTCCAGGCTTCAGAGGCAATCAAACTACTGCTCTGATACGTGTTCACGATTTCAAGCACTTTCCTTCTTCCATAGTGGGAACACTGTTATTAGTGGGAAGCATTTTAGTTAATTAAAGGGTGGGTGAGGGCTGTGTGCTGTGCAGGGAGCCGGATGCTGCTGCTCTGCCTGACCCCACCTCTGCTCTGCAAATCTGCTCAGCCACATAAAAAAAAAAGCTCATTAAATTTTTGCAAAGCAAAGACAAGCACTTAAGAAAAGTCACTTTCCATTGTGTGCCTGTGCCCTGGTACCACTGCAGCACCAGGAAGTCTGGGGAGCAGCCTGCAAGCCCACCCAGCTGCACTTCACCTTGCGGGCACCTTCCTTACTGATGGGGATGCTGGGGGATGTGTTTGCTTACAGTGCGTGACAACAAAGATGAGCACCTGAATCCCGAAGACAAGAACGTAGAAGATGGCTCATTTGACTACAGGTATGCTCCCTGGCATGGACCCACATCCCCATCAGCCCCATCACAGCCCTCACTGCTCTCCCCCTCCGCAGCCCCCACGGTGCCACGCAGCCTCCTCGGTTATTTCTTCCACCTTTCTCCTCCTGCCTCATTCTCTCTGCAAGTCCTCTGCCAAAGGAAACGTTTCCTAAAGCTCCTAAAGCAGGGAGTTGGCTGCAAAAGTTTGCTTCTGGGTCAGTCCAGGAAGAGCTGGCATGCTGTGACCCAGGACATGGCTCTTACAGATCATCAGACATGGAAAAGGTGCTAGAGTGAACTCCTGAAGCATCCTGTGGATATCTCAGGGACATCACCCCATAGCTCAGCCTCTCTCCTGTTCATAAAGGAAGAAGTGTCCCAAAATCATGCTAAGAACAGCCCTGAAAACACGCAGGTGCACTTGCCCAGGCTTCAAAGCAAGGTTTTGCCCTAAGGTCCCCAGGGAAACCCTTCTCAAACAGCCCCTGGAGTGCTGAGCAGTGATCCTGCTCAAACCACTCTGATTCTCCTCACCTCTGAGCAGCCCCTTTTGAGCAAAAATTCATCCTGGTAAGAGCAGCACCCATCTTTCCTCCTGGAAAAGTTCCTAGGATATTTCAGAGAGGGATCAACATCTCAGAGCCACGTCAGTGCCCCCTCTGCTGCCTTCCTCCAGGGAGCAGGAGCAGGTAATGTGTCAGGTCTCATTGGATCGCCCACACTCGACAGATGACAGGGATGTTTTACAGTACACCCAGTTTGCCCTCCGAGCACCTACTGTGTGCTCTGCTTTTTGCTAAAGAATTTAAATGCACCTTTCCATCAGAGCTGGATCCACAGCCCAATTAGTCTGGTGGGAGTTCTTCCTCCTGACTTCAAAACAGGGGTTAATTAAACCCTATGTCATTACCAGCACTCCTAGCATTACGAATTGACGTAGCCAAGATGGGAAGAATTTACTTACAATTCAGTGAGGGATGTAACAACTCACACATGTTCCACCAAAGACTTCAGAGGGAGCAAAATGAATAGGTCTGCCTGCACACAGTGCTTAAATGAAAGCAGAACGACTGCATTCCTCTGTACCATCACATTTATACTGTTTGTAGCATGGTAACTACATTAGGTTTTTCTCCAAAGGATATCTGAAGACCAAAGCTCCCCAGTTTTCTGGTAGGAATGGTAGAGAATACAAATATACCTCAATGGAAACTCACATAGGTACAGTCTAGAAAGAAGTCTTAATCACCCTCCACACCACGCAGGGGCAACACCTTCAAGCTATGGATAAAACCATTAAATACAGAAAATAATAGTTTGATCAAGAAAATCTACTGCTGATTTCCATACTTTGGTCATCCTAAAACGCAGCAACTCCTGCTTAGCTGAATCTCAGCCTCTTATTGACAGCCCCACTGCCACGAGCATGCAGAAGATAGAAGGGCAACAAGAGCAAACACAGACATCGTTCGCATAGGAATGACCGAAGTGTAGGAGTTCGAAGGGTCCTGCTTTGAGTATTTGGGGTTGTTATCCATGGAGCTGAGGTTTTTGCAACGTTGCTGGCATGGATATGACCCTTGCTCTATGAGTCATGGATTTACTAAATCAAAACAAGATTTCTCCCTGTAACAGCTGGATACTGTACTTAAATCCTGCTGGGAAGGTGTGCTTGAGTGCAGTCTTCATACCAAGCCCCAAGATGCTCTTGCATTTTCCATCAGCATCCCACGAACTAGATGTGAAAAAAAAAACAACCAAAGAGAAATAAAACCAGACCCTGAACTCTGCCCCTCCATCAGGAACAGAAGTGGTAGGAGGTTCTCTCAAGGAGGCAGAAAGGAAGGTGAACTTGAAGGATTGATATGAAATGCTGTTGGCTGATTAAGATTCAAAATGATTGCGATGCTAGGCTCAAGGAGGGTAGCAATTAGTATTTCAAGCAAGGACAGGATCTGAGCTGACGTGAGTTCTTCACTGGTTTCCCTCCCCACCTCCACATAGCATGTCTGATACGCTCTCATCATATCTCACGTCCTTAATGCCCTGTGCATGCAACTTTCAAATCTCTGCAGCCTATAATTAAGAGATACTGTCACATCTTTCTGTTCCACTAACAGAATAATGGTTTTCCTGGGCAGAGGCTAAGCTGAGAAGCTTATTTTCAAAGCAGGAGACCATTATCCTTGGACAATGTTCTGTGCCAGTGACTGTGCCTCATTATACCAAATGTTTAAAAGCTGCACATGGGGGAACCGACCAGAAATCCTGGCTTCTGGGAAAGTTGAGTGGTTTTACCTCCTGGGCTCCATGCAGCTCTGATTCAGGTTGGGATCTGGTGGCACACCCCAGTGCACTGTGAACAGCAGGAACCAGGTCAGGAGACACAGAGCTGCCCCCAGCTCAGCAAGGGGAGGACAGAGGAATAGGTTCAACTGTTGACATCACCATGCACTGATGTTACATCAGCGTGGAAGCCCAGCAAAGGGATGGAGGGGATGCTGAACGGTCCCTTCACCTGACCCCAGGCCAGCATGTTGTTTGTCCCCCAGCATGGCATTTGTCCCCTTGTAGCTTGTGCCTGGCCATCAGCCCAACACAAGCAGCCTGGCCTCTGCCATCTGTGCTCTCCTGGATCAGCTTTCCCAGGGATGGGACTCCTCCAGATCTGAACAATTCCACTGGCTCCATTTGGTATAACGAGGCAACGAGCTCCATGAGGAATGCAGTGACTTTTCGTTTTGGTTTTAGCACTGCCCCTGTAAATGCATACCTCATCATATCTCTCTCTGATCAGGCTCTTTCTGCTTCTCTCTGTTTTATTCCCATTCTTTCTTCTCCTTTTCACCTGGTCTATCCACATGGACCATGAAGGTCTCTTGAAAGGTAGGACCACGTGCTGCCAGAACTCCAGCACATTTAGCTTTTTTTTTTTTTTTTTTTTAAATTATTCCTTTTTGCAATTTGTTTCTTTCATAGCTGAATGCCCTCCCCTCCCCATCCCATCCCCATACACCCACCTTCACCTAACACCTAACGTTAAATACAACTCCCCTATCTCTCACTGGGGTCGAGAGTACCCCCATGCCCACCGGTGCATCTTGCTTGGAGATGCTCCATGGGCATCACCAGCCATGTCACCCTCATCCCAAACCAGTCCCTAATGTGTAGTGGGACCAAGGGATGCTGACAACGGACACGAGCAGAAGGGCTGGATCCTCTGCATCACCCCTCAGCACCCTCCCTCTGGCTTCAGACTCCCCTACTTCCCAATGATTTATGCTGCTCAGGATAGCATTTCCTCGACGGATCTGAGCTGGGTGCTCTGCTTCTTTAATGCACCCATCAGCAAATCCCATAGAAATCCATGTTAACAGGGTTAGAGCGCATCAGTGTGCTGATGAATATCTGCTTCGCCCTCCTAATGTACTAACAGGATGAGCAGTGTTGGAGAGAGGTAAAACCAGGGCAGGCACAGGAAATGCACTGCCGGGGACTTTGGCATTGCAGAGCCCACCTTAGGGAAAACCTGGCTCTAGATCCAAGTTCAACCCAACCCACCCCAAATCTTGGGAATGGGTATTTCAGATAAAAGGATCTGGTTTTTGCCACTCTCTACTTGACATTAATTGGGCTTTCTAACAGCCGGTCCTGCTTGCAGACTGAATCCTCTTCCCCCTAGAAAGGAGCCACTTACGAAGCTAACAAGTTATTATTTATTGAGATGCCAAGTTAACACAAGGCCTGGAACATTGGTTTTGTATTATTGCTTAATTCACAAAGCGCTGATGGAAGGAAACATGGAACAAAGCTGCCAGTTGTGCCGTGGGATACCAAATTCCTCTCCCACTGCAGAGAGCTGATGCCATTAATTAAGTGGCACAAAGAGATGCAATGCTACCTCTGGCCGCTCCCATCACTAAGGAGCATTTTTCTCCTTGGTCCAAGCAAAATGTTCCCTGTTCCCCTCACCAGGACCAAGCACTGTAGTGTGGATGCTGCCTACCCAAAGGGCAAGTCCCGAGATGCTGCTTTAATGAAAAATGGCCCCAAAACTCAAGAGGCTACGGGAGGTTGTTTTTCCAAAAAAGCAAACAAATGAAAAAAAATAGGCTGAATCATTTTTTTGATTGATGACTCTGCGTGTACAGCTTTGAAATAGCCCCATATTTTTTATCAATTTTAATAAAAGTCAAGAACAGAGTGGACTGCCATACGGGGGAGCGAGCCTGCTGGGTGCGGGACTAAACGAAACCAAAATAAATAGAGACAGGAGTGGGAGGGAGGAAAAACGCTCAAGGTACGTAAGAGATCTCCTTAGCTGTATTACACAATTTGCATGCTGAATGTGGGCTCAAATATGAACTAATGACTAGCTGATATGAAAATTAATTTTTATATATAGCAACTCTCTCATCCTCGTTGCAATACGATCTTTATTTATGAGGTACCAGTCCTTGCCCTCCTGAGAGAAAACAGCTTTTCCCCCATTTTTTGTTAAAAGGTTTCTTTAAAAGATTGTTTTTTCCTGTGGGTCAGCCGATTTATTTTTCAGTGACCTGGCTTAATCTTTCCAGTGAAAAAGAGAAAAGGATAAAGACTTGAGCAAACAAGCTTAGATGCTCAGAAATGAGCTTGGAAAGGTAAATTCCCATGAGTTTTGGGAGCTGCACAGAACTTGGCATCCTGTACATGCCCCCTCGCAGTGCTTTGAGTTTTCCCCATTGCATGGAGCTGTCTAAAACAATGTGTGTTTTCACAAGGAAAGCTGGGAACAAACCTCACTAAACCAAGGTTACATCAAGGTTGGCTAAAATGCAGGGAGAAGGAAAGGATACGAGCAATGACAAGGGAAGGATATTTATCATGTACATCCAGTTGGACTGCTCTGAGCAATGTGTGTCATATAAAAAGTTCAAGAAACATTGGGACAGTGCTCTCACACAAGTTTTATGACTTATGGGTGGTCTTGCGTGGAGCCTGGAGTTGGGCTCGGGATCCTTCTGGTTCCCTCCCAGCTTGGGATATTCTGCAATTCGGTGATTCTACAAAATTGCTTTCTAAAACCAAAAACCACCAGGGCTGGGCTATCAGAAATACCAACCACAGCACAAAACCCAGCCAACTTCCTTCATGGAGGCTGTGTGCCCACCTTGGTTCATACTAGGCACCCCATGACCTGCTGCCTGCACTCAGTGCCTTTCTTCTGCACTCTCAGCTCAGCACAGTCACACACTGGATTTATTTTTGAATATCCAGCCCTTGGCTTTTATCTCTTGCAAGCCCCACTCTCAACCCTCATTTTGTCTGTCTGTCTACCAGTGATGAAGACAACAAGCCACTGCCCAACAGCCAGACATCCCTGGATGGCACGATAAAGCAGCAGGAGAGCGACGACAGCTTGGTGGACTACGGAGAGGGTGGGGAAGGGCAGTTCAATGAGGACGGCTCCTTCATTGGCCAGTACACAGTGAAAAAGGACAAGGAGGAGACAGAAGGCAACGAGAGCTCAGAAGCCACATCCCCAGTCAATGCTATCTATTCATTAGCATAACGCACTGCAATGGGACCACGAACAGCCTATGGGGCTTGTAGTGGCTGGGGGTTAAAGAGCCACCACCACCACTGCCTCCAACTCAACATAAGAATGAAAACCAACCAATGACACACACACACACAAAAAAAAAAAAAAAAAAAAAAAAGAAAGAAAGAAAAAAAGGAAAAAAAAAAAAAAAAGAAAAAAATAGAAAAAAATAATCCAAGCAAACAGGCAGACCAGGTTGCTGCCAATGCCATCTTATCCTTAGCAAACAAGTAAATGGCAAGGACTCCCGAGGCGTGGATGAGTTGTAGATGTAGCCAGAATCAGAGCTGAAGCGCAGGGATGGAGGGATGCAGGAGTGCTGTACGCAGCTCCCCGTGTCCTTTTTCTTCTTTTGGTAGGGAGTTTAATTTCTTTTTTTTTTTTTAATTTTAAATATATATATTTATAAGAAGGTTCCAGATAACAGGGGGAAAAAGAAAGAATTCTGGGGAGGGAAAATGGCTGAGCAGATAAACGAGTCTATCGAAAATGTATAGAAGAAAAGGAGAGTGGTTTCTATATGGGCAACGCCGCCACGATATTGCATTACAGCAATGTCCATCCTCATGCAGCACCTTGCCCACAGCCTCTCCCAAACCTTCCGGAAAGTTCTAGCAGCACCTGAAGCTGAGAAGTGCGGGTCCTCACAACTGTGGGACAGAGCCCTGGGGGCCACCAGGCCCAAATCATGGGAGCCCCAAGAGGATGAGAAGTTGCTGGGATGTGCTGCAGTATGGCTAAGAGCCACTTGCCCACCAAGCCTGGCTCACAGCATCACTTGCCTGGGGAAGCACAGGCAAAACATTTTAGTTTAGTCTTTGCTTTGTAAGAAGTTTGGGGGAAATCCCCCTCCCCAGACCATGCCTGCTTTCTTTTAAAGGCAACTCCATAAATCTTATGTAGCAAAGAGGGAGTGGAAGCAGGACCAGTATGAAGAAGGGATGAGGGGACCAGAAACTGCTTATCTTAAAAAACAAAAAGAAAGCCACCAACCACCCATTCAGGCTGAGACATACCGCCTGGGAGTGGTTGTGGGGACTCCCACTATTGCCCTGCACACTGCTCCAGCACGTCAGGGACATATGTCCCTCAGGAACAGCATTGGGACACCAAGGTCCCCTCAGCAGCAGGTATGTGCCAGGTTGGGCATTCTCAGCTAAACCCTGATTTCTTACAGTGGCCTTTCCCCCCCTCCCCGCCGCAATCAATCAGCCTGAGAGACGCTTCCACGCGCGGAACTCACCTCTGCTGTTCTTTACATATCAAAAACCCCACGCAATTTACGTTCAGCCTGGGAAAACACACCGTAACAAAGCGTCTCGGATAGGAGTGCTCCTTCACATGCCTTACACAGCTTCCAACGTCCCGGGACGTTTAACAAACTGACACTAACCCCCACCCCGCTTCGCTCCCCAACGCGATGGCCTCGGAGCCGCAGGAGCAGTAGGACTAGGACGCTGGACAGCTCCCAAATGGGAACGCATGGATCCTATAGAGGGTAGAGTCTTAGTGGCCAACGCTGTGTGTATTCTCCCACTTCCTGCACTTTTGAAACCAAAGGTACCTTCGCTGAGAGAGATCGGATTCCTTCAGACCGTTTTGCAGACGTCGAATGATGTTAGGATGGATTTTTTTCTTTCGTTTCTTTCCTAAGGAGGAGGGTTTTGTTCAGCTTAATGGATTAAATGCAATAGGATTAATGCAATTATTCTTTCAGCTGGTTTGCTACGAAGACATATCGCTAACGAGAACACTACTAATAGGGATTGCTCAGATGTACTTTGCCACATTCTTGAAGCTGCTAATGGCACAATGATCCTGCACTTTGGGGAGGAGAGCCAGGACCAGGTCAGCATTAACAGAGCACATGGGAGAAAACAGGCTGCAAGCAGACAGCAGACGGGTGACGTGCACCTAACCCCAACCCCAACCTTACAGCTGCGGGGCTCCAGGACAGCACAGGAGCCATCTGCCAGGGTCCTTCCCAATGTCACCTTGCAGGGCAGGGCCATGTTTGCTGCTCTTACCCTCCGTGTAAATGCACTCATGCAACAGATCCGTTCCTGCTGTTTTCACCATTGGCCTCTCTAAGGAGAGCATGCGCAGCCTATCCCACAATTGCATTTCAGGTTTTAAGCAAACTCATTAAGCCAAACATAACACAGCCCTCAGTTATGGGGCTGGCTGCTTCCTGAGCCCACAGCTGTCTGTATGAGTTTGCATAGCTTGGAGGGAAAGCAACCTGCAGCCACTGTTATAGAGAAGCAGCTTCTGCTGTGGGAACTGGAAGTCTTGGGTACCACACAGCATACCCAGCCCTCAAGGAGGCATCGGTCCTGGTGGCAGGGCAGGCTGTGCCACGTGTCTGCTATGTGCCATTTGTATTAACACTGGTGTTTGTGTCTTGCCATTAACCTCTTTGCATCTTGCTGGAAGCTGGGCAGTGTTCACCCTACAGCCTTTCCGTGCTTGCCCAGTGCAATGTGGCTTCAGTGAGCCCCAAAAAGCCTCACAGAAACAGTGACAGAGTCTGAGCAGCATCTTCCTTGTGATCAAATAGGAAACAAAGGCAATGAGGACCCAAGAATGAATGGCTCAGTGTAATTTTTGTGGGCTTGTACTGCTGGGTGTGAATTTACTAAAAAAAAAAATATCAGAAGATACAGTTGAAAAAAAAAATAATAATACTATATTTGTTTGCAAGTTGCCCTGAAGTTTCACCAGGGACAAGTAGAGGGCTGTGGGGAGGCTCTGTCCTAGCCCCAGGGCTGGGCCCTACAGTGCCCATCAAAGGGTGCTCATCCTTGCAGGACTTCTTGGAGCAGGTCATGCTCTGACCACCTCTTCTACAGAAAATGCATCCTCACTGAGGATAAAAAGCAAGGAAAAACATACACATGGCCAGCTTGTGCCAACCATGGAGCACAGGCATGGGACAGGAGGGAGTGGCTGTTGCTTTGATGCAATGCTGAGACTGCTCCTATATATTTTCCCTGAAGTGATGTTGCAGTGAGAGACAGAAGTGCTGCAGGAAGCACCGAGAGACAGTACATGCCTTCCTAAAACCCTTGTCATGGAAACACCAACAGCCCATCCCCACAGCACCCTTGCACAGCATTGCCTTCTCGCAGAGGAAAGTCCCCAACGCCTTCCAGGATGGCCACTTTTGCCCCCGAGGATAGAAAGAGCTGGCAAGGTGAAACACACTGCTGTGGGGCTGCAGTGAGGGCAGAGCCATGCAGTAGCATCCCTTGCAAGTCCCATCCATCCTACAAGCCATCAATTCCTTACCTCATCCATTCATCCTCTACCCCATCCATCTATCCTGTATCTCATCCATCCATCCCATGCCTGCCCCATCTATTCTCTACTGCATCCATCCACCCTGTGCCCTATTTATCCATCCATCCCATAGCCCATCCACTCATCCCGGTGCCCATCCATCCTTCTATCCTATGTGCACCGTTCTGTATCTCATCCATCTCATGCCTGCCCCATCAACCCTACTGCCTATCCACCCATCCATCACACACCCCATCCTTCCTCTATCCCACCCATCCATCCGCTGCCTCTCCTCAGTTGCACATCTCAGCAGAGCTGTGCACTCAACCTGCAACACCACACCCACCGTACCAGGCTCAATTGTGTACTAGCAGCAAACAATTTCAGTTAAGCAATAAAAATAAACAAACCTTGTAAACATAAAAAATAATAATGATAGAAAAAAAAAAGAAAAAAAACCAACCCACCCACCTCCTATTTCTTGCACTAAGACCTGTTTTATTGAAGAGAATAACGTTGAGTTTCTGGTCCTAACACAATGCCCTGCTGCAACAGCAGCTCCCCCTGCCCAGCATCACCTGTCTCTGTGTCCTTTGCAAGTGGGCATTGGGCTTTGGTTGTCCAACATGGTCCAAACCCTGTGTCAAACCCTCAAAACCAACTTCTTTGCAGTGCAGCGTTCTATATGTTCGTTTCTTCCGCTCTCATCGGAAGGAGAAATACTGGACCGTTTTGTTTTCCTTTAATTTGTAAATATATCTCCATATGTCCTCTCTGTAAAACCACCTGGTTGGTCTAAATATTCTATGTATTTATTTGCCTTTTTTTTTTTTTTTTTTTAAGCAAAAAAAAAAAAAAATCAACACCTTTGCGTTAACCCACTTGTTTCAATGAGAAATGTATATCTGAAGCTGTAAAATTAACACTTTACAGCAAGAAGAGCTATGGACTACAGAAAAAGTGTTTAATATAAGGACTTATAAACTGACTGCATGAGAGATGAAAGAAAGCCAAAATACTCAGATAGCATTTTTTTTTTTTTTTTGAATCACTGTAAAAAAGAAAAAGACTGGGATTTTTTTGTATAGAGAACACTAAACATATAATAAAACATTGTTCAAAACTCAGGCGATGCTTGCCCTTCCTGTCCATCAGCTTTCTAGCCACTGATGCTGTCCCCTTCCCATCCACGTCCACAGCCCTTCCCAGCAAAAAGCACAGCCCAGAAGCTGTGATGGGACACAACAGGTCAGGCTGATGGTGGAGGAGCTGGGGAAGGGAGGTGGCTCAGCAGCACTTCACCCCAAACCATCCATAGAAGAAGCATTTCCCAACCCACACAGCCCTGCAGGGGATCCCTGCAGTCTCAGTGCAGCAGCTCCTATGGCTCAAAGCAGCAGGACAAGACCTGCATCTGCTCTGAGCACATCAGGAGAACTTCTGGTACAGGGGAGCAGAGCAGAGCCCGTGCTCTGAGGATGGAGCACCCATCTGGACTGCAGTGCCTATCAGCCAAGGGAGCGATGTGGCTGCTGTGCAATTTAACTTCTTTCAGCCCAGCCTGGCTAACACCATCCTGCCATCCTTGCACAAGGGGAAGAGCAGCAGCACCAGCTCTGATGTTCATGGGAGCACAGAGCCTTCACCAACCACCATGGAAGCCTCAGTGCAGACAGCAGCACCCTTCCCAGCTGGGGAAACTGAGGCACAAGTGTGCAGCGGTTGCTCCATGCAGGTGGCTCAGCAATGCCCAGGGCACGGGTGATGCTGCTTGGCATCCAGCACTGACACAACACAGACAGCCTCACTGAGCACAGAGAAGCTGGAGCAGGAAGCCCCCGTGGCCCAATAAACTCATGGGAGCATCAAGGTTTAACCCAGGTGCCCCCAACCCCACAGCTCCCGGCAGAGCCCTGCATTTCCCATCCCTACTCAAGGCTCTGAAGTGCTCTTTGCTCCCTCGTGCA